CGTAGGGGGCGAAGCGAAAAAAAAAAAAGAGAAAAGAAATAAAAGTACCTTCAATCCTCTCCATATTTTCTTATCTCTGTCATTCTCCAATTCACGGCTTCAAAATGGCTGTGACACAAAGGCAGCCTGTCAAGCAGGCTGAAAAGGTATGGGATAGCCCCAAATCACGGAATAAACAGTCGGGCATTACTAATCTGCGGTTTCTACAGCAGACGGATGTTCCGAGCTTGCAAGCCCTCAAAGATGCAATCCCGAAGGAATGTTTTGAATCATCCCTCGCAACCTCCCTCCTCTATCTCGCTCGGGATATCGCCTACTGTTCAGCTCTGATTTATGCTGCACTACACATTCATCTCCTCCCTACTCTGCCTATGCGAATTGTCGCCTGGGCCGTGTACGGGTTCTTCCAAGGCTGTGTTGGCACAGGTCTATGGATTCTTGCTCACGAATGTGGCCACGGTGCCTTCTCAAAGCACCAAGGGATCAATGATTTCATTGGCTGGGCTACCCACTCCTTCCTTATGGTCCCATACTTCTCATGGAAGATCACACATGCTCGCCACCATCGCTACACCGGTCACATGGAAAAGGACACCGTCTTTGTCCCCTGGACCGAGGATGATTTGGCATCGAAGCGAAATGTCAGCATTGAGCAGTTGAAGCACCTTGCTGAGGAAACACCCATTGTCTCCTTTATTCAGCTTATCGGACACCAACTGTTGGGATGGCAGATGTATCTCATCTTGAACGTGACTGCTGGTACTAAGAGCGGCCCTGAAGGATGCGAGAAGGTGAAGTATGAAAGCCACTACAACCCATCGAGCTCAATCTTCACCGCCGCCCAGTGGAAGCTCATTGTCTACTCCGACATCGGCTTGCTGATCATGGGCTCTATCGTGTGGTACACTGGAACTATCATCGGAGCGTGGAATGTCTTCTTCCTCTACGTGGTGCCATATCTCTGGGTTCACCACTGGCTGAGTACGTCTTCATTCCTACCTTACTTGAGTGCTCGGAATGAGAATTAACAGAATTGATAGTTGCCATCACATACCTTCAACACACCCACCCCGAGGTTGCTCACTATACTGCGGAAGCCTGGACTTACACCAAGGGAGCACTGGCTACAATTGACCGCACAACCGGCTTCATTGGCCGTCACTTCTTCCACGAAATCATTGACTACCATGTGGTCCACCATCTCTTCAGCCGCATTCCATTCTACAATGCAGAGAAAGCCACCAAGGCCATCCAGCCCATGCTCGGTGAAAACTACCACGAGCAGAAGGATGAGAGCTTCTTGTACTCCTTGATGATGACCTTCCGCAAGTGCATCTATGTCTCGGAGAGCAAGGGACGCGCCAATGGACAGCCCGGAGTTCTCCACTTCGTTCTCTCGGATGAGAGCAAATGAAAATTGGTACTGCCAAGTACCACAAAAATAGCCATATTATAAAATCATAGACTAGATTTCGGTTATAGATTTTGGTTATACCCCTGCAAGTTTTCGCAAACAACGATATATTTCTCCGGTGTGTCTAACTCCTGGTATATACGGGTTATAATTCGATAACTATAGGTAAACCTAAGTTATTGCATGGACATGGGATATTTGGGGACAGCAAACTTATGGAAGGTGTTGGTCATAATCAGCCTGATGTATCCTTCCTGATAATAGCCGGGTGTCCATTGTCCCCGTAAGAACCGAAAGTAGCGGCATTTTAGTCAGTTAGCCCTTCATATCCACGCGCATACGATCGGGAGGCGGTATCTTGCATAGTCCGTGGCTTGGCCAATGGCTTCAAGGATCGTTTGGCGCGTAATGGGTGTCCGTATATGATTCGCGAGCTTTGACTGGGGTTCGTGTGAGTCGAACAAAGGCGGCCTAGGAACATCCAGATACAACCGAGGCAGTTCAGATTATCTAGGGTTGCTGTCATATCATCGAGCAATACAAGATGGGTAGTTTCAAAGTGAATGAAGACCACAACAAATGGGATAAATGATAGGTGCAGGAGAACCCTATCTAGGTAAGCAAACTGATTAGTCAGTACTGCTTGGATCCATGGATCCAAAACACAAGCCCGGACGCAGAGCATAAAGATGCTTGTTTGTATTCATGGCTGCGGAAGGCTGACCCATGGGAAATGTGAAACCATGGGGGATGTGAAACCACATGGGCAATGCGAACCATTGGGAATGCGTACCATGGGGAATATGAGAGCTCAATAACCAAGCTTTTCGATATTAATATAGTTTTCGAGAGATAATTTGGGCTGTGTGGATGTGTAATGTGTGGACTCTAATCGAAATCCGTAAACATATTAAAAGCTCAGCAAGGTCGCCCTTCAAAAGCCGTTGGCAGACGGAAAAGGCATGATAGCTGACTGTTGGGAGTTTTGTGGAGGCTGAGCAAGAGGCTTGTTGCGACTGGAATCCTTGGAAGGTATGGTAGGCTGTGTCGAGTCGATAATGACTAGCTTAGCGTCAAAATCGTTGAGGAGGCAGTAGAGTTCAACTCGAAGATAACTAATACACCAAGAGATAACAAGCCTCGAGTAGGAACGAGCTCAAAAAGCTTTCGGTGGGCGAATCCGGAAAGGGAAGACATGGTGGCTGAAAGTATGAGAGTCAACATGTGTATCGATAGTGGAGAAGCTTGCGATGCGCTTAGACTCAACGGTCGGTGATTCGAGACTGTGCGGGGCCAGGTATATGGTATCGACGCTGGCTGATGACGTCGAGGATCATGGCTTGTTGGACTGGATGGACATCGATCCATGGAAGATGAGGTCGTGAGATCCCACCTAGAGCGAGGCGTGAATTCCTCAGTGATAGAAACAAAATTAGGGGAGTTGAGTCTTACTATGACCTGGTGAGCCGTTTGCGGGAGGGCTTGCTGGTAAGTGTTGTGGAAGGTGAGTTTGCAGGTGGCAATAGCAAGGTTTGTGATAGCGAGGTTGATGGGAGATAAGAGCGAGATAATTGATACCACGCATGTACGCATGCTCAGTGTTTCAAACAGATACCAAAGCGGCAAGGCGGACAAGCTAAAAGTTACGAAATCACTGACTTAATAGGTGATGGATAGTGACTAGGTATTCCAAACAAGACAGACAAAGCTTTACTTGCTAGTTTCGTTGGCTCGTGTATATGCCTATTTAGATAGGTGAGGCAAAAATAAACAAAACCAATTCACACATCAAATTCACTCTTTCTCCTCCCCTCCTGCCGCCAAACACACCACCCCAAGGTAACTGTTAACTTCAGGCCCATGGCAAGCCATATACTAGACGCCATACCCGTTGTTTTCGAAAGCCCGCCAGCAGTCATAGCGCCCAGAAACAATGCGAGAAAAGACCCTACCCGACGGTTGCGCTTCGGATTGAACTTTGCAGTCAACTTTGGATCGATAAGGAGATCGGATAGCATAGCCGTTACAACAACAGTTGGGATTTCATCTAGGGCCAGGACCCGGGAAACACAGATCTGGCCTCCTGCTTGGAAAGCTAGAAGTGAGATTGCTAGGACTTGCATCCATTGGATCGGAGCCCGAGGATCTTCGGGCTTCGGGGTGATGACCTCCAGCTGTATAAGAATTGCTGTCGCCAAAAGGGCAATAGTCTGAATGCCAAATGAGATTATCATGGTTGAGCGGCGTCGTGGTGTCAAGAGTCGATGCATGTGGATGAAGATGATATTGCTCGCAATGAAGACGCCCAGGGCGATCAGGGACTTCGCCCAGAGATATGCGGGGGTTGCAGGCTGGCCGGAGACACCCAAGGCTAAGAAGATGGTATTTCCTGTGTCACTTGTCGTTAGCCTTATGTTCTTTCACTGCTGGAACAGATTGCTCGGTAACTATAGACTCCACATACCTGTTTGCATACTTGAGAAGCTGCCCCATGCATTAAATGATAGTCCGTCTACCAAACCACTGACGAACCCGCATATTATAAGAGGAATATCGGTATGTGTGGTGTCTATGTCCGCTCGGAAGTGGCGGGAAATAGTTGAGCGCACCGTGTTGTCTTCTTCTGTTTGGTTGCCAGAGAGAGACACTGCTGTGCTGCCTCCAGAAGACCAAATTCCCGGTGTATACTTAAATTCCTCATTGGGCCGCTCCAACCGAGAACCCGCGGTTGCTAAATCGGCCTGATAGACGGAACGGGCATCAGGGGCGCGGTAGGCCGTTGTTGTGAGTGGCTCGGGCTCGATAAATCCCGACGGGGAAGGGGGCCGGTGGTGCATGTTCGGGATTATTGTCAATATGTGTATATTATTAGGTCGGCTAAGCTGATTATGAATAGAATCAAGTCTGGAAGCTTCCGCTTTGGCTGTGCCAATATGTAAAGAAATAGACTGCCGCAATGACACAGCCCTTCTTTAATACTGATCCAATTTGGGGTACATTCCGCCCCCCTCCATGAAAGGAATAAGCCGAATCCTCGCCAAGAGAGAGATAAGAAAACATCCCGATAACATGAAACAATGATACTTGCCCCATCCCTACAGGTCTCGTGTATGTGTTACGGAGTACACCGGTAAGTGATACGTTTGGGAGCCAAACTACTCAATCTAGATCTACTCTATACCGCTATCCATTCCACATACTTAACCAGATCATAGTACATGGGCAGTCTTCGTAAAATGAGTAGCCCAACATCAATACACATCCTGAAATGAGTGGATCTCACAGTTCCCACCTTAGCAGAATCTGGGCGTCATCTTGGCACTATGATTATATTCGCTGCGTGGGTAATTCATCCCCGGACTCCATTAGAAATCAAACTATTCAATACGACCTCGGAAGCTGGGGAATTAGGATTTACCTTGGCTCGGCGGAGCCCGTCAAGACCCGACCCTTAGGCTTCCTCAATCCCAAGAGGCAATCCGCAGCATTTACTCACATTCTTTCTTGGCGGCATGGCTATACCTCATGGCATTGATTGGCTATATCTGCACAACCAATGCGCGGCAATCGACCGAATTTAAATCGGGAACAATTGTGACTTGTCATCACGTTATTTAAACTCGCCTACCCCTGTGTTAATCGGATCGATATACAAATGCAATACTTGGGCTGAGATGGCGTCTTAGAGAGTGTATGTATCGCCTGCTCTGGCCCCTGAAAACGTCCAAGGTATTCAAAAGTAGACTTTATTTGCCAAGAGATCGACGTATCCACTGAGACTAGTCCATTCGCGGCCTCCAAATCGCTGCAGTAAGACTAGTCGCCAAGGGATCTCCGGCACCATCAATGGTTCACCACTAGTCTTATCTCTGCACGCCAACGGCTAAGTTCCCATCACACAGCCTCGAATACTGGATCTTGGCGTCCACTAGGTTGACTCCGTGTAGTTCAGGTATTGAGGCGCGCTGACGGGTCAAATCTTGGCATATTCTCCTTGTAAGGGATGTGCGGGCCGCAGGAATATATGCCCAACTCGAAAAGGAGAAGAACAATGGGGATCACATTGCGGGTTTTTATGGCCATCGGATGTTGGGATTCCCGACAAGGGAAAAAAACAAGAATACAACTACTCCGTACTGTTCGGGCTCAATGGCAAGATAATTGAATATTTCCATCTGAAAAAGCAACTACATGCCAAGGTGTGAGAAATCGTGTTCCTTCCCATGCTGTTGTCTTCTGACTAGGCAAGGTCAATCGCTCGATGAAGCCGATACGTGATACTGCCAAGAGGTGTCTTAGGTTCACCTCCAATTAATTGGCCGGCCCGCCGAATGGGCGGTGTTTTGGCTTGAAAGCATTCCTGTTGTGAGTGTGACATCACCACCTGATCGTCGTACACCAAGGATGTAGTTGAAGACCCGCTATACTACAATTGCAGCCAAGTGGATGTTCAAGCGGGCTCCGTTCGATTCTCGGATTAGATCGTCACGATCTAGGCGAAAGTTTCATGGCATTGACAGAGAGGTAACCATTTAGTACGGTTTCATGCAACATACTGCAACATATTGTAACATACAGGAGGTATAGCTAGGTGTAGTTCAGCTCACGGTCTTGGTATTCGCCTTCAGAAAAATAAGGCCCGACGGCAAGGGTGAAAGGCTTAAAGTGGGGATGCCGATGTCAATGGCACGTTGAGGCTTTCCGCCCAGTTGGATGTTGTCACGGCTGTGTGTCAACATTCTTATCTCGAAGGGAGATCCTAACTTTAAGCATCCGAAATAATCTGCGGGGGAGCCCCAACCCCCGTTCATTGAAGGGATAGCGCAAAATTCCGCCGGGGCTCCGCCACTCCCAGAAGGACCCTCGGCGTGGGATGGATGTCGATCCTTGTCGATCCTTGTCGATTATTCCTGATGCCTTGGATAAAACCCACTTTTCGCCCTTGCTGCAATAGGAGTCTACACGGGTACTGATTCCTCGCCAAGATATTGCGTCAGTTGATTAATGACTCCTAAGGTTTTTTTTCGGAGGAATGATCCGGGGAAATGCTTGCGTTGCATACGATTTTCTCGCGTGCTGGTTCTGCGTGGTCCGCGTGGTGGTCCAGACTCAGGCTTCAGTTTTCGCCGCATAAATAAATTACCGACTGATGCCTGACGAAATGGAAAGCCTAAAGCTGACATGAAAAGTAGTCCATTGGTGACTAGGAGTTTATAAATCACGCGAGTTTTATGCAAAAGTAAAATCATACCTGACAATGTGTGAGACCCTATGATTGTTTCTGCCGCTGCCGCCTGGAATGTGTTTGCACTCCGCAAGACTAACTAGGGGATCAGTGTTTTGTTGCAGATACTGCCATTATTTTAACGATTTCCTTTCTGGGATGTTCATAACATTGCTTAGCGAAAGTCTGCCTTATCCAACGGACCAGTTCTGTTCAAACGCTTCGTGAAAGAAAGATTCAAAAAGTGGCGAGTCAATCACTTTGACCGACTGGGGTAGGGTGGCAGCATAGGTGTCGAAGACTGATTGTTCCAACTGGGTTTCGCCCTCCAAGTCCTTACCAGTAAGTTCCAGTGGAAACCCCAATGCATAAGTTTCCGTCGCGTTGTTTGATACACTTTGGAAATCGGCAAAGTCCATGAAGTCCAGGTTCGGTGCGGTAGTTTCATAGGCAGTTTGCTTCGCTACTCTGCTTTGAACTTGCTCGTCTACCATGAAGGACAGCGTTGCAGGATACTCGGAAAATGTATCTGGTGACGAGCTGCAGTTGAATTGGGCTGCTTGCGGGGTGAGGCTCTTCTCCGGCTCGATCTCAATATCGATGTCATCCAAGACCTCTCTCCCTTCAGCAGAGGATGAATGCATGCTGACAGGGTAACTATGCCGCTGTACTTGGTTCATGTGACTTGCAAGTGAGCTCGTGGATTCGGTGAACGGAATATGAGATGTCCAGGGAAGTCGAGCAATAACACCCATTGCTGGAAGGTCGCGAACAATTTCAGGAAGCACACTCGCGGACGGCAGGTCGCCAGTCGACATGGCATAGTCCACAGACGTCGATATCAAAAGATACGCCCTCGGGCACCGAATGAACGCATCTTGCCAGCTCGTTGGACGGTTAGGTTTGGGTAACATTGATGTATTGGAGGCTCTAGGCGGGCGCCGGTTGCTGGATAAAGAGGCGCCCCTTGCCATGATATTGTCAGATGAGCATAATTGATGTGGTTTCTCTTCCAAGAAGAGGTTCTGAGTTGTCGCATACGCAAGCTGTAGGATATGGTTGGTCGAGACGGCGACGCAGTCAGTGACATCGTAGAGTGTCTCTGAGTGACGGAAAATTTGACTTAGCGAGGTCAAACTTCGCTGTCTTACCTCTATCTCGTCACTAGAAGGAGATAGTTTCAGATCTATAGCTGCCAAAACGAGTGGCATGCTAACGTATCCAAGGCTGCGGTTCATATTAGCTAGCGTCTAGCAGCGAAATGTTGGACAGTTCCTCCCCGATAAGATGAAGACAAAAGGGGTAAGGGGCACTGACACACTCAGGGGAAGACTATCAGCATATCCATTGATACTGAAATGTTCCATCACCAGACTCAAGCCCTGAATCCCATGCCTTAGGTCATTACTGATCTCCAGAACAAGACTGCTGTATGTGTCTCCCGCGTAGAACATGTTCTCTTCCAGTACAAATGCCGCATACTGAGCCAGATTTATTCGTGCTGTGCTAGAAATAGATAACCACTTGGTTAGTTTTGATGATGGAGTGGTGAGGGGCTCACGAACTGGTAATACATATATGTCATGTAGGTCAACCTTGCAACTGGGTCGTGATCTTCCGACGCTGATGTATTTCTTGGTGGAATTAGAGGTTTGGACGGCAGCATCCACTTGTCGATGGATCTTTTGATATCTTTTATACTTGACAAGAGGCCCTGGAATTCAATCATAGACAGAAGCCGTCTTGGAGTCTTTTGATGGGTGAACACCAAAGACACTAGATCTGTGAGTAGCACTGCGAGCTCGCATTGCTTTTGAAGTGCGTCTAGTAAACGCTTCTTGGTATCATAGTCGTAGACTTGAGACTGATACAACTCTTCACTGAAATCCTCTGTACTCAGCCAATCACTCCATCCATGCAAGGTCGTTGAGGTCATCTGAGAACGACGGCGTAAACCAATGCACAGGCTTCGGTCACGAAGAAGGATAGACCACCAAAGTCGTTTCTTGAGCGATATTGCCACACTTTCCACCGACGAGGATGGTTGAGCGTCGATGAGCATGGCGCACTCGATGGCCCTTGTGACCCACAAGCTTCCAGCCTGGGGTTCTTGTGCAGAGGTATAATGCGTAAGTAGAACAGCGCCTTGTGCATTTGCATGAGGCCGTTTTTCGGCTCTCAGTTGGAATAATAGCTGCACCCAGCATGATCAATACCCGTCCACGGCAAATGTGACACTGGATTCGGGGATGCCTACGTTGGCTCTGTTGTACAGCTGTTTTCGTGCAGCCCGCATATTATCAAATCCACATTGACGCAATGTCTTCAAAGACACAAACTATCACGGTTTAGTCCAATGGTGGGAGGTACCGGAGGGCAACATGAAACTTACCGGACAGCTTGCGACAAGCAATGATTGCAACACGAAAAGAGATATCTTGGGACCGGTAGATTGATTGTTTCGATAGATGCGCCAGAACTCAGCCTCATCCAAGACAGGCACTGATGGGTGAATGCGCTTGAAGTACTCTTGTACAAACTCGTCGATTGCATTGGAGCCGGGCAAACACAAGCAGTCGTTGAACTTGAGAGATGCTAGATCCTCGGAAGGGAGCGACAGCAATTCGACAAAGGCGTATCCTGTATACGGAACATTGGTGGATTGGGGTTGGCTTGTGCCACGGTCATCCAAACTGAGACCATGTGCGCGGAGCCGTGAGGCGAGAGTTGGATGATCATTCGACTGGCGCAAGTCGTCGGTGTGCTGGTCAGTGATCATTTTGTTTGATCCTGAATATTGGTAGGTGGGCGGCATCGGGTTTGCCAACTTTTGAGACCTGATGGAGGTCAGTAAATGGGTGTTTGACGCAAGTCTTTTGATTATGATCTCACTGCTTAGGATTCTTAGCGCGAATATTACATTCCGTGCGACCGTCTTGCCGACACCGGGTACACGGAGAGCCCAGGAGTGACGCATCGCAGCGCACTTTGCGCTGACGACACCAGGAGCAAGCCGTAGGCGATCTTCTTGTGCGTCGCAACATGTCGTTTGCAACATACAGGTTCTTTGATGTTGGAGTTTGGAAGGGAGATAGCAGAGTGGGTTCAGGTGAAACACACATCTGGGGTATGGGGTCTGGGGAATGATCACCAGTCGGGCCGCCAAGGTTGGAAGAAGCCGACTCGGCTATCTCACGGATATCTTATCCCGGAGCCATCCTGCAGACTTAACTGCCACGTGGGTAATGATGTTCTCAACGTTGCTAGGTCTCGATGGCCTTAATGGTTCAAGGGCTTCTACCTGGTATTTGAATCTTACCATCGGCAATCATCTGTTTGCTGTACCTATGCTGTGATCTGATTACTGAATGGCCGAGTACGCTAAGACCGACCTGTTCCCAACTGTTCCACAACTACAAGCGTTACTTGTTCGAGAACCTAGCATCATTGGCTTTGAGGGCGGAAATATGCCCAGGTAAACAGATCAAAGTATTGTATAGCACTACTCCAGTTACTTATAACATCTCTAATACCCTCTGTTCATGTATGGATAGAGTCAGCGGCACGGCACTGACCCCGCTGAACTAAATTATGCTTAGCCGCGCTTCTCCGCATTTCCCCACTTTGGGCTCTTCCAAGAATGATCTGAGTGCACTACTAGGTATACCAGTCGTAGCAATCTCGCTGTGAAAGGAGAAGGTTGTTGTGAGCCTCCTATTAATGATCTCATTTCGCGTGATATATGGTACTGCCCCGTGTAAATGTTTGGATGCCGGTTGTCGTTGGCGACAATTGGCCCACCGCTTGTTTGGAACCCGCTCATCCTCAGTTCGAGTGCCGTTTGATCTCGAGCTGCCGGATTGCCTCCGGGCGATGACTTTCTTATTTTGCTATTTTTTATTTTTTATTTTTTATTTTATTTTTTGCTAATATTCCTATTGCCTCTAATGCCCCTGGTGTACCTTAATACTCTTTCCGGGCCTGAAGAAAGAAATCGTGGCATTCAAGCCCAACAAGGAATATCCCAAGACGATCTCGATCAAGCTGTTCATTTTTCCAGTTTACAATTTTATATCCTGCCACCTATAGAGCTATCGGTTGGAATTCGTTCGCGGAAAAATTTATCTAAATTGTTAATTGACACAAAAATAAACATTCCAAACGTCGTGCCAGTGAGTTATTCTGCTCTATATTAGGCTTAAAGTTTAGCCTTCAGAAGCCCAGCCTCGATTTCTTTCTTAGCATCTTCACGCAATACTCTCTTCAGGATCTTTCCACTTGGGTTCCGTGCAATCGCGCCAACAAATTTGACGCCGCCTGTGAGTGCTTTGTATTTCGCAAGGCGGCTCAAGACATATTCTTGAGTCTCAGCTTCCGTTAGCTTGGACCCCGGATCGCCGGGTCGTCGAACCACATAGGCGCGCGGATACTCGATATCAGCACCAGGGAAGGTGATTCCGATGACGGCCGCGTCCACTATCTGTGGGTGAGACAAGAGCACCGCCTCTAGCTCCGGTGGGGCGACCTGGAAGCCGCGGACTTTGATCAATTCCTTCCTGCGATCCACAATATACCATTTGCGAGTAAGCTGGTCACAATAGGCTACGTCCCCCGTTTTGAACCAACCCTCAGTGTCAAAGGCCTCGGCATTAGCCTCGGGATTGTTGAAGTACCCCGGTGTCACTGTTGGACCTCGGACACACAACTCGCCACGGACGCCAAAGGCCGAAATGTTCTTCCCGTCTTCATCGATCAGTCTGAGGAAAATAGATATTAGTCGCAGACTTGGCACAACGCTACACATCCGGCAGGTGAATTCGATATAACGTACTTAGCTTCGAGGTTTGGGATGAGCCGGCCAACGGAGCCCGTATCATCGTGCTCGGGGTGGGGAAACATAGTAGCCACACACGATGTTTCAGTCATGCCCCATACCTGAGTGAATGGGGCGTCGTCGGCCATTAGCGAACGGAACCTGGCTTGGACGTTCTTGTCCAAAGGAGCCGCCCCGCAGCCTGCCATTCGGGCCTTTCGCAGATAAGGTTTGTTTTGAGAAAGAGGGGACATGAGGATTGCTATCACGATTGGTGGAACCATAGCAAGGTCGGTGACGTTGTACTTTTCGACTGTAGTGAGGTATGTCTCGAGGTCGAACCGACGCATCATATATGCGACTGAGCCAGCTTTTAGCGTTGAAATATGCGACACTGGAGCTGCAGATGCATGGAAGATGGGTACCGCAATTACCCGCGATATCTATTCGAGGATCTCAGGAGTCAGTGATACCATCGCACTAATTTGTCAAGGCTCCCTCCAAGCTGACACCGGATAAACTGACAGGGTAAGAGCGCGGATTTACACCGTGAACAAGCTCATGCTGTCCGATAAGGTTGTGGTGTGTGATTGTCACAGCCTTGGGCAGACCAGTGGTGCCACTGCTAAATAACCTCGCCGCTGTAGTCTGTTGACAGGTTTCGAAATCGTTGAATCGCACCCAATCCTCCTCTCCGACTTCCAATAGCTGTCTCCATGATCGCATTTCACCCGGAAGAGACTGTCCCAGATTGTCGAAAGCCCAAACATTCTGCTTGGGTACATTTGCCTCCTCGGCCGCACGCATCAGAGGATCCAAGATCTCGGGCTCGGAGAAAAGGAACTTGCTTTCGGAGGCCTTCATATGATGAGCGAGCTCATGCGGAGTGTAAGATGGGTTCGAGCCCGTGAAACATCCTCCAGCTCCGATAATGGCCAATACAAGAATGCTATAATTTATCTAAAATAAGTCAGAATCCTAGGACCTTGTGTAACTGCATGGTGGAAGCTCCATACATCGTTGAAAGAATGAATGAGAATACAATCGCCTTTCTGTAGGCCAGACGCCCGCAGGCCGGCTATGAGCTGACGAACGAGCTTTCGTGCCTGGTTACAGGAGATCGACCGAGTGGGATTGTTGACGTCGACATAGATCTACCATGGTCAATTCGGCGGCCGGTTGACGATAAACTTGAAATACTGTTTGTCACTCACTGGCTGATCTTGGTCATATGGTGGATCGTCAAAAATATAGGACAATAGGTCCTTTGTTGGAAGCAGAACCCTCTCTGCTGGTTCAAAGATCATACTGTTCTGGCTGGATGTTGACAAGCTGACTGGATACAGGTTATCAGGTTCTATTGCTTTATAAATAAATATCTCGAGGGGAAGCCAGTTCTAATTTTAATAGACAAATTATCTGAATGTCCGCAGCTTTGACTGAACCCCTCATGTGTTTAGCTCGGAACTCGGTCGCTTAAGCGGAAGAGGATGATCAGCCACTTCATCGGGAATCCAGGGTGTTAGGGGTTTTCATTGGGAGATCAAATACAGTCACCAACGGGATAAACACAATTTATGCAGTGAACATGGTGGAATCCAGGTACAAGTCCAAACAGCACCATTTTATGCATTTTCTCTTACTCCGCTCCCCCGGGTTTTATTGTGCGGAGAAGCGTTTGGTGAATTTATACCACGACACTTCTCAAATTAGCATAGCCTATTATACCATTATACCTATGATCCCTGCAGAGTCCGCTCGTGATACCATTTTAGATTAGAACAAGGGAGAGAAGAATGCCAATCCACAATTTGGTGCTCATGCCGAGCCCCTATATCCTTACATCGCACAACCACACAAGCTACCAGTTGATCTTATTCCATCTACCGTAATCCTCAACTCCTAGTTTGATTAATTTAGAGAAATGAAAAATTGGAGTAAATGGAAAAAAAGAAACAACGTTACTAAATTATAAACTATGAAGTTGTATATAGAAACAAGGGGTTCAAGATGTTCGTCTTCCCCAAGACATTGTATTCACGCGCTTTTAGTAGCCTCCGCTTGGTTGTATGGGTCAGTAAGATGACCGTACATGTATCAATTTCGGCAGCAAGAGCCGAAGCACATATCGGCCGCTAAACAACGTTCCCCATCAGCTGGTGTTCCATGTCATTACATTAGGGTGGGGTACTCACCGTTATAATTCTGAGGGATGTCACGCTTCTTGTAGCTTTTTGCTTGTGTCTGTCTAGGATGAGTTAGCATTGTGATATCCTATCATTCTATCCATAGTTGGGGCACATACTGTGGGACCAGTGTAGTTTCGGACGTTGCATCGTCCTTGATCTCAGATTGTTGGCTAGAATGTCTGGAAAAAATCGCCTTGAGGTGATCGTATCGGCTCAATTTGCTGTTCTGGGGCATTTTGAAGTATGATAGATGGTATTCCCGAAATGGACTTGTGAGATTTGGTTTTAGATATATTTAAGCAATGTTGGCTGGATATATTATAGTACAGGTTCTAATTTACATAAACGTCTTCAGTCTGGATATCCAGGCCATTTATATCTGTCGTCTAGATTTTACTGAGAAGCAAGACTTTTCATCAACCAGAGAATTGGTTGTTGATGACCGTTCAGTTTACGCCGAAGTGGTCACTGTCTGCGTTCGCCGGCTTGCCGGTTCGCCGGGACCGGCGGATGACGTCATTGCACGGTGCCCCCAGGCCCTTCACGAGGGGCCGACCGGTTCTGGCATCTTTCGCATCCTTCGGGCAACATTATTGCCTCGCTCAGCCTAGTGCCGGATTTTCTTGCCTGTGTCTTCGGCCATTCATCTCGGCAACTCACCTCGGCCAGTCACCTCGGCCGACCACTGTTCTTCGTTCGCCGACATTTTCTTCACTGCCATGACCTGATAAAGGCGCATAAGCCTACATTCCTTGCGTTCGCCGATCAGCTGAGACAAGTCATGTCTTCTCCCCTTTCTGCTCGGCCATATCGGTCAAAACGTCAGCGCCCGTGTGATCAATGCCGTTCCCGCAAGTTAGGTTGTCAGACCGACGGCGGAGCTTCCTGTCAACGATGCCGATCGGCCAAACTGCAGTGTACATTTGATAATCCTCCACCGAAAAGAGCCCGAGGTGTGGACAACCTTTCGTCTTTTGCCGCCCAAAGTGTCGATGGGAACACACTTGTCTCGCAAACATGCGACAGCAATTTCACTCGCGAGTCCAGTTGGGCAGAGAGTGGAACACAGAGTGTCGAACCACGATTCCCACCCATTGGCCTCGATCCAAGTAATACCGGGTTATCCCCAGGCTCCGGTGTTCTAGCCGCCGGAAGACCGCCGGCACAGTTCGTGCAGAGCATTGATCAACTGGAACACGGTCACGCCCAGCTTTTCGGTGCATCTGCTGAGTCAGACCCCTGGCTGTTAAGGCATTGTTGCTTTGACGATTCTGGCATGAAATATTTCTACAAAGTTCACTTTCGCAATGCCGGAGGTGTCCCTACGGCACAAAGAATTCCAATTCACTTCATGATTTCCTCCGAAGAGCTCACCACCTCCATTAAGCACGAAACTAGGGCCGGCGTCGGCGAAGCGACACGTGAACGCCTGAACTATCTAGTACCCCCTGAGTATGGAAGGAGGCTAGTAGCTTTGTGAGTATTACCCCTCAACGTAAGACCGAAGCATCAGTACACTAACAGAAGGTCAGGTTTGTCAAGTATGTTTTTCCTGCCTTGCCAATCATTTCCCGTTCCCAATTGGGGTTGACTGCGACGACATATCAGCTGCCGGATCTGTCGGCATTAGAAAAGGTGCCCGTGCACCTTCTTGCGGCCATTTATGCATCGGCATTCCCATTCGTCGCCCATGATGACTACCTCTGTGTGCTGACCACGTATAATGCGTCGCCAGTTGAGATCCTGTGGAGGATGGTCTATGAACTCGTGACCGAAGAGATCCATAGTCCCCGTTTGGCGGTGCTGCAAGCAGCGTTATTATATATACACCGACAGCCAAAAGATGAAACCCGCCTGACGACCGCCGATACCCCGTTTCTGTGGTCCTTCGTCGGACAAATCGTTGGGTTGGCCTGTTCCCTCGGCCTTCACATTGAATGCCGCATGTGGGGTATTCCGGCATGGGAGAAGCGCCTCCGTCGGCGGTTGTGGTGGGCTGTGTATGCCGAAGACAAATGGCGCAGTTTGCTGATGGGCCGTCCACCATATATCCATCCCGCAGAGTGGGACGTGAGTGAATTGGATGAAGGGGACTTTCTAGTGGGCCCACGACAAGGATTCTCAACTAGTTCTTGTGATACCGAGATTCCGTTCCGATACCTCATCAATCTCGCACGAATCGGCGAAGAGATCCATGACACATTTTAGTATGTTTGACTCACCTTTTGGTCCGCCGGCGAAGAGTCAATCTTGCTAACCATCGTTTCTAGCACGCTCCGGGCTTCCCAATTCTTGAACGCAAACTTCGTCGCCTCTGCCGAGCTCGGCCGTGGGCTGCTTGAAAAGTTGAATGGCTGGTACTCTTCTCTCCCTGAAACTTTTCGACTCCCCAATTGGAGCAAATCCGTGAATGGGCTTGCTCCCTACCCCACCTCGATCCATTTTGCTTACCTGTTGCTTGTGGTCTATGTTTACCGTGCCATGCTCAGACCAATGGCACGTTCATCCGAACCGCCGCTTATTTTTGACTTGGAAGATTTGTCTGCCACGTCACCGTTGCCCGTAGATGAGTCGATGCTAGACTTCATGGATCTCCCAGAAATTGAATCGCTACCGGAAGTAGCTATTTCCGACGAGTTTGGTACTGGCGATGCCACTCTACAAGCGGCAGAGAAGTGTGCCTCCATATTGGTGAACTTTGCAAGACGACTGACGTCTAGTGATTTCACGGCATTCTGGTACTCTTGTAAGCTTATCACCTTCACCTTCACTATCTCATCTCACTATGGTGCTAACAGTATAGGGTCGCGAATTGGCTTTGCTACAATTTCAAATTACCTCATGTTGCTACTGGTACAGGCTCCAAATGTGGCACATGCGATACGGGGAAAGCATTTAGTAGACTCGTGGCTACAGGTTCTGCGATGTCAAAGTCAAAGCTTCCCACTTGTGAAACTCGGACTTGCAAGACTTGATGCGCTGCACTGGGCAGGACTGGGAAATACCTTTGTCCTCCCTGTCCACGTTCAAGCCGCTATAGTAAACCCGGATATACCAGAGTCTTGAGCAGATGATACTGCGGCACTGTTTCTTGAGTGCATATTCACTTACATCTATAGAGATCCTCATCAACCATATCGTGAGCGGTTTTCTTCGAACAAGTTTCCCGGAGAAAAGCACAGCGAAAATAGGAAAGAACCGGAAAGAGGTATAGACTGCATATAGTGATATGTATATTTGAATAAAGTTGATTGTTTGGTTTGTTTTTCCTACTCGTTGCCAACGAGTACTACCCTGCCACTATAAACTCCGCACGTCCCCGCAACACAGATGTACCCCCACGACCCTGTACAATCAGGAATGTAACGCTGATACAACCCCTTGCTTTGCATAAAAAGGTCACTTCATATCTCAACTGCTTCACAATGTCCAGAAATGAAGCGGATTATCCTCTCCCTTGCTGCGGTCGCGTCTGCGCTGCAGAGCCTGCCCCCAGTGCAGTTTGATAACACAGGTTCAGATCATAACAAAGGCTTTTCCTTAACAACCACTGACCGGATAATCTACCTGGATGCCGATTTTGCTAGCTGGAAGGATCAGAATGGGTTGACGCTGATTCCACCATCGGCATCCGACTTTGCCAACACATTTCGCGAGGACTTGCAGGAGCTGACGAACAGTTCCTGGGAGGTTCGCACAGTCAAGCAATTTCCCAAACACGCGTCTGGAATATTCCTCGGTCGCGCAGACAATCCGGACAGGTTTACCTACGAAAATGGAGACAAGACCGAGGAGGGATATGAGCTGGAGATCCAGCATGGCAGTGTCTTTATTCGAGGCTCCGGGGCGCGAGGTATGTGGTGGGGGTCACGAACGCTGCTCCAGGAGCTCATTTTGACACACTCATTCCTACAACCCGGTCGCGTGGAAGATGCCCCCGCCTACGCGACTCGTGGATTTCTGCTGGACGCTGGTCGCAAATGGTATTCGCTAGAGTTTTTGAAAGATTTGTGCACATATGCCTCGTTCTTCAAAATGTCCGAGTTTCAGTACCATGCGACCGACAACTACCCACTAAGTCGCGGCCAGAACAAGACTTGGAACGAGGTCTACTCGCAGTTTTCTTTGCATCCCGAAAGCGAGGCTCTTCACCCTCTTGTCCAGCGTGCCAATGAAACGCTATCCCGGGGTGAGTTTGATGACTTCCAGCACTACTGTGCTCAGAGAGGCGTTACAGTGATGCCGGAGATCGAAAGCCCCGGGCACTGTCTCACGCTTACGAAATGGAGACCTGAGCTCGCGTTGGACTCGAGGGACCTGCTCAACCTCTCTCATCCTGACACTGTTCCTTTGATGAAATCCATTTGGACTGAGTTCCTTCCTTGGTTCCACACGAAGGAGGTGCACATTGGTGCCGATGAGTACGATCCTGACTTCGCGGATGACTATGTTGAGTTTGTGAACGAGATATCCCGTTTTGTGCAAGAAACATCTGGCAAAGGTGTTCGTATTTGGGGGACTTACGAGCCATCAAAAACTACCATTGATAAGAATGTGACAATTCAACACTGGCAGTATGGGCAATCGGACCCAGTCCACCTAGCTCGCAATGGCTATAAAGTCATTAACTCCGAGGATTGGTGGGCCTATATGTCGCTGAAAAGCAACCATGTACCTATTACCCCAGCCCCTTACCCTCAGTTCTTCAACAATTCCCGCGTTCTCAACTTCGCCGACCAGGACGGGTGGCAGTGGACGCCGGAGCTCTTCAATCCAGTGAACACCACTGAACAACCGGATGCCGAAGCTGTGCCGGGTGCTCTCTTGGCTGCCTGGAATGACAGCGGTCCGGATGCCACTACTCAACTCGAGGCCTACTATGCAATTCGTGATGGCATCCCGGTCGTGGCGTCGCAAGCGTGGTGTGGCGCACGTGGACCTCGCTTGCACGAACAGACCTTGGCTAAATCTATCGCACAATTATCCTCTCAAGCTGTGGGGCAAAATCTGGACCGACGCCTCCCAGGAGAAGGGAGCAGCCACGGATCAGGACTTTTGCTTTCATGGACAAGGCCAACTACAGAGTCCAACCAGGATGAATATAATCTGGGCTATGGCAGTAAGGGCATGGATTACACCCTTCAACTAGACGTCACGGGTCCGTTTTCTTTACAGTCCTCCGATGCGACACTTACGTTGTCGTCGGACGGTGAATTGACTTTCGTTTCTGATGGATGGTCATACCCACTTCGATCTATTTCTCAAGCTGACGGCTTTGACCAAGATCAGCCTGGTCGAATTTGGGCCAACAAGACTACCTCAAGCCATGATGTTGTGACAATACCCCTGAAATCACAGGTCATGATCTCCACAGACGAGATATATGGAAGCCGTGTGTGGGTGGATGGAGCCTTTGTCGGCCGCTTTGAAGTCTTTATCTATGGCGGAAAGAATCAAGTTTTCTCTTGGGGTCAAATGGCTTTTGTGGCACCGTTGGGTATGTTGAAAGGCTCCGGCTTGCAACACTTTGCTGTTTTTCAAGGTAGCAGGGATGGTTGATATCAAATCTCGTCGTCTACAGCCTGTATTGCCAGGCTTTCTCGAATGTTCAATATATTTCAAGTCTATGTTGTACCAGGGGAAAGGCCAGAGAGTGTATTATAGAAGCAGACAAGCTCCCAGGGCTATATGTTGTCTACACATGTAGTTGGTACTTACACCTTGTCTTAGATATTTCAACATAAGCAAAGCAAATATCGGGCTCTGATTGCTAGCTATTTCCGTCTTCTCAGTTGCACTGTAAAGCCAATTTCAAGGGACTAAAGCACTGAGCCTGCAAGAATCACAGACACGCCTATCATAGGCAAAAAGTCCGTTTCAAATTAGCCATCTGAACACATACCTTTCCTGGCTCGCCGGATTAGAATTCAATAGCGAGATCTCACGCTTCCACAGGAGACACCATTAAATTGCAGGTCAAACAACAGCGATGCAGAAGTCGGCGTTAGAACCAAGTCGTAGCTGACATGGTAGAATTGTTTCCCTCTGGAGTTTGTTTTCTTCGTAAAAAGCTCTTTCGGGATTCTACTCAGATCTGCCTCCACCACGCACAGTTTTGAGACACCTTTTTAAGTCAGTAAAAGGCATCCGACATATGCATTGGCATGGGGACATACTAGAATCCATCACTTCGGGAGCTGTGTTCATCTGGCAAAACCGCAGTGCGTCGTGAAATACCATGGACTCGCCCACGCCAAACACACGGTAGAAGCCCATCCTTATTGGCTCACTCTCGGCGACAGATTGTCCCTCAAAGTCCCTCAGGTAAGCAGTCATAACTCACAAGAAATGGTTAGTGCAGACTGGAGGTTACTCACTTTGAGGATATACCATGTCATACGCCCACTCAACTTCCATTGCTCTTCATAAGGGCACCATTTGAGGTCTTCATTTGCGCGGTGCTTTTTAGGATCAAATGTGACTCTTATCATAATGCCATAGCTACAACGGGCAATGCGACTCTCTACTTGGTTGCCTTCTTGTCCTCGGATAACAGCACCCCTAAGCCTGTTAGGTGCAAAGAAAGGGTTAATAATGGATCTTGTACGTACCGAGCAACAGCGGACCATCTGCTTTTATGTCAGTATTGGTTTGAGTTACCAAGAGATCAGGGGCTTACGCATTTGGGGGTTGCATGATTTGGATGCCGTCGGAAGCAGCCTGTAAGCGCTTGAAGAGGTACCCCGAGGCACCAAGGCCTCCGACTAGAATAATAGCCTTAGCTGAAAAGCCTGCTTCCATGATGCTCGTTCTCTGCTTGGCGACGAGTTTCTCAATCTGCCGAATAATAGGATCGAAGATTCCTTTCACTTGATCTCTGTATTTGGATTAGAATGGCCCGCAGCTGATGAAGTAAAGATAATTATCGAAAGTTTACCTGTCTAGATATAAGTGCCCCTCACTAAGCTCGAGGTTTGGGATCCCCGTAACACCAGGAACCGGGATCCAATATCCTAGCTCACACATCTCGTCGTCGTCGAGAGGACCTGCGTATCCAGGCTTAATGTAGTCTTGCCAGTACTTTCGTGCAGCCCTTGCTGTAGACTGAGGTAGCTGTTGATGTGATTGTTTCTCGATGATGTTTTTGATAAGTGTGTCGAATCTCTCGTCCAACATCACTGAGCCACAAACAGCACCTGAAATTTGTTAGATGGAAGAAAAAGTATGTAGAAGCTTTGATAATACCAGTTCCCTTCGTCGCTTCCTCGAATCTCAAAGGTTCGGTCTGCTTGACACGATAGGTAATGATGTCCTATTATGATCGTCACTTAGATTTTGTCCAACCAATTAATTCCATACAAGAAGACTCACGACCGTTCCACCCCCCGCATCACAGACAACCAAGCAGTCTCCTTCCGAGATCGTATTCGGCTGAATTGTTCGAATCGCACACACCGCAGCCGCCTCCGGTTCTGACAAGAGTCTTAAACTTGCATCAGATATACCAGCGCGGTGGGCCGCCTGCCTAGTCAAATCTTTTCCTTTGTCAGTCCACACAGCAGGCACAGTAAGGATGTATTCCAAATCCATGGTTTGCAGCGCAGTTCCAAAGCGACGCACCAAGATATCCTGAGCGTGGGCGACTACTTTTCCCAAGTAGTCACCAGCGACCTCCACGGCCGTTTTATTCAGGTCTTTGATAATTTCTTGAGAGTCGCTGGCAGGTAAGTAACGGAATTTCTGACTTTCATCTAGCAAAAGCTTGACTCCTTGGATGAGTCGCTGCTTGCCCGGATGGATCGACTGGTCAGTCTGATAACCCCATTGCATGCCCTTGTCATTGTAAGAACACAAAGTTGGGACTTTCTGGCTTGTGACTAGTAGATAAACAGTTAGTGGTATGGAATTCTTTGTGCCCTGTAGACTCACTGTTGCCACTACCTGGCCAGGTCTGAATGAGCTCAATATCATCAGGGCAGTCTTCTAATCCCCAGGCGACACTGTAACAGTCAGCTTGTCACTCTCCCACCACTACTAACACACAATATATATTTACCCGCTGAAGGTTGTTCCGAAGTCAACACCAACTATAAGTTTTGATCGTCCCTCTAATCTCGTCATGTTGAATTCGTATGCAGCTTCTGAAAATAGAATATGTGGGGAGATTTTCCTGCAAGGGAAAATATTGGTGGGTGATATTTCTACAAGCAAAAGTTTGCTCATTTCGCAAGTTTGATATCATTGAATCATGCGCTTAGCCGCAATGAGCGTCGGCGTGAGGCTTATTTTTACAACATCAGCTAATAGTGGTGTCATAGATTTGAAGAGCGAGTCATGGGTAAAAAGTGAAATTTGTTCCATTTATTATTTCAGGCTTCTCATTGCTCGAGCATCGCTACGCAATGTTGCCTCACAACGAACCCGAGCCTGAGCAGGCAAGCAAGAGTACTCGAACATCCCCAGAATTATCCTCAAGATGGGGACAAATTACTACGGGTTCGTTTTCCCCTCTATGGCTTATATGGAATCCACTAAATTTATTAGCTTGCATAGATAGTAAGGCTATGCATGATGAGGTTAAACGGCTCCAATGGGTTTGTGGTGAATGTCCCCTCTACACTTGTTTTCATCTGATGAACGAAACAGAGAGTCAAAATTGCAGAAGAGAAAGCAGAGATATTTCAAAGAGATCGGCTTCTTGTAGAGGAGCAGGCTCGTCAGCGAGGCGAGCTGCTCGAGAATGCTGTTCAAGAATCAAAAGTAGCCAGAAAAGAGAACCGAATCCTCATGGCTAAAATAGCAAGCTTACAAGCTGGGGTTGAGACTTTCTCCGACGAACAAGTTAAACGAGAGATGTGTCTACTCTATCGCGGTCTTGAACACTGGCGTTTTACTCATTTTGTGACCAAGCCAGCACCCCACGATCCCAAGCCAAGATCAGACAGCCTTGATATTTCGACATTGGATATAATTCAAGCTGATATTGCCGGGCTGATTTATCGGTCGTTTTGGAACCAATTTATGGTTGGATCTGACCATTTTTGGAGTAACTATCTGCGCAAGGTCGACTCCGAAATAAATAAAAAATGTAAGTGCTCAGCAAAGCCCTAGAGGGATCCATACTGTCACTGCTTTCTAACAACATAAGTTTCTAACCACATTTCCCGGCATTGGAGATGTGCGATGAGCTCCGCCATCCTATCATTGGAAACCCCTAGCTTAGAAGGACAGTGCAATTGGATCATCGAGCAGGTAGAGTCCTGCTTTGGCCGTTATGCTGTCGCCGACAAACCAAAACGAATGCAACAGCTCCATGAGGTTATTGCGCGCTGCATCAAGTTCAAACATAAATTGGATTGCCAGGAAGATAGATACATCTTCTGGGGCAGTTACCAATATGGACTGCCGTTCCGGGATGATAAAATGCGAACCCTCACAGAGGACACGTCGGATGGATTCGTCCAGACTAGTCTGTGGCCTGGTTTATATAAGATTGTCCAAACCGGCGAATGGTCGACAGTCGAAAAAGAGATCGTGAAAAAGATTGCTCCAGAGACACCCTCGGTTGAAATGATCGATGAAATGGAATCCCATGAATGCGACCCAGACTTGGATGAGATTTAGAATGGTATTGCTGATGCGGGGAATGTATATTGCGACTGTTGCTTCCAATTTGAATATCTAGCTATAAAAACTCCGTTGCTTGTCCAATGCAAAACATGCACATATCAATACTAGTTACCACATAGTTATTAGACACCCTCGGCAAAACCGTCGTTTCCGGATTCGCTGTCAACCTTCATGGAGTCCATCAACCCACAGACTTCGAAGATTGTTCGGGGTCCTAGTCCTTCAGGTACACCGACTACTCCATCGGCCTTGAGGCGCTCCAAAGTGGCCTTAATACCCATATAGGCTGGAGTGATCGTGGCGAATGAAAAGATCATGATTCTGAAGCCCATTTCCTCGGCCTCCTTTGTGGTAATGAGGGGACTCGCTCCATTCTCCACCATGTTGAGCAGAAGGGGCCAAGGTGCCAGATCCTGAACTGCTTGCCGGGCTTGCTCTTTTGAAGTAAAACCCTCAAGTAGTCCGACATCCGCTCCAATATCCCTGGCAGCCTTCAGTCGACGGATGCATTCATCGTAGCCATGTTGCTGGAGTGCATCAGTTCGTGCAATCAAAACAATATCAGAGTGCAAGCGATCCTTGGTCAACTTGGCGGCACGAATGCGCATGAGGTATTCTTCCAGACCAACGACTTTCTTGCCATTGAGATGGCCGCAACGCTTGTTTTGGATCTGGTCTTCAATATGGAAGCCAGCTACTCCCGCCTGGATGTATTGCTGCACAGACTTTGACACCATCAAAGGGCCTGGAAGAAAGTTAGACTATTTGTGCAACAAGCTATAAGGGTCTCTTGTTCCATAGTGCAGATCACTAACCTCCATAGCCAGTATCCATGTCTGCAATCAACGGAGGTCCAAATGGATCCAGGTTTGCGATCATTTCAGCGTTGGTCTTCATGTCGTGAAGCTGTGCCAGACCGAGATCAGCCATTCCTAGGCGCGATGCGGTAGTTCCAGCACCAGTCTGTGTACTTGGTCAGCATGCAGGGACATGGTGTTATGCATTAGAGTTCTCACCATGTACAGTCCCTTGAAACCGACCTGCATGGCAATGCGAGCGGAGAGGCCATCATACACACCGGGACACACGATGAGCTCTTTGGTGTCTTTCAGCATGCGACGCAACTTGGAAGCTGCGGGAATGACATAGAGAGAGACGGTAGGCTCCTGTCGGGTGCCGTTGACCTCATAGTATCCATCCTTCTCGACGGTGATTGTGATAGTCATATTTGAAGTTTGGCAAAGGTGATGTCTTTTTGTTTAGACAGTTGGATTCTTGTACTACAATCGAAGGAAAACGCCGCTCTTTATATCTTCCAGTTCTGTGCCCCGCAAGTAATTTCGCTACATGCAGACACGCCAATCCCAGAGCAGAAGCATCTGCCTGCTTGTAGAGGACAAAAGCATCTCACCAAAGCCAAAAGCCTCGGTTTCTTGGGGATGTAACATTCCACCATCTGCCAAGACGTCGAGATGGCTTAGCTCCTTTCGCGTCGTACTGACTCCAGATGACCTCAGCTGAGTGAGTCTATCAAGAAGACATATTGCGAAAGATTAACAGCGCCAGTCGCGGAGCAGGTGTTCAGATTATTCCCATCAATCAACAGCCACAATAGCGTTGCATACATATATCTCCGTATGGAAAGCCAAGATCTAGATAATGCATATTTACATCGGGCTTTCCAGATTGATTGGGATTGGTTGGCGAGGGGGAACTGGACCCGCAATGTTGATCCTGATGACTTGCTTCTCAGAGAAATTTAATCAATCTGAGTATCTTGGCAAGATGACTGCATAATGTAAAGTGATGCGGTGCAATTTGCGCTCCTTTCACGGGGGAGATCTGCGCGCCGATATCTTCAGAGGGCTTCTCCTTCTCTTGGCCAAATGCACCGTTCCACAAGCACCCTCGTTCGCCAAGCTCTTCAGACCGGGAGATCATCACCCAAAAAAACGCAAAAGGCGCTATGCGCTATTGCTGTGTAGCGAATCAACTCGTACTGTAGTGCAATGTGTACCTTGTGTAAAACCAGTCCCAAGGTAGGTAAGTCAAGACTGCTCTAGCCTTTTTGGGGCTTTCGCCGCGGGGCTGAGTCAGCCGTGTACTTTCCCCCCGGGCCGGAATTCCTCCTCTAGGACTCCGAACTGCATCGCCAATTTCCACCCCGTCATCACCCACACCAATAACTCATATACCCCTGCTACTTGGAAGATCCTTTGAACTCTCAAGGGGCTATCATCTTTCACTCTTACCGACTTCAATTACGCTTATCATGGCTCTCACACAACCAACCAATCCCGAGTTCCCTTGCTCACTGTAAGCCCCTTCCCCCACCCCGAAATAGGCCCCAAGCACAATACCCGAACTAAGCAATACTCACCTCTTGACTCAGCACAATCTCCCTCCCTCTTCCGACCAATCGCCTTGCATCGTGCGCTCTACGCGCTTTGGAAGTTGACGCTGAACTATCCCCTCTTGTGCGACGGACTTTGACCCTCGTGGCTCCGTCGGTCGAAGCACCCTCCGAGCCGCAGGAAAAAAAACAAAAGCAAGACCCTGACGAGTCCAAAACCGTGTTGAATATAACATACATCGCGACAACCAACCGGATGCTGCGCGTTTCTGTCAATGGATTTATGGAGAGTCTAGGTGTCGTGCTTGGGGTTATGGCAGAATTGGATATTGACGTGCTCAAGGCTGAGATGGAGGGTTGAATGATGGATTTGCCCTGCAGCAACATGCACAATTGGCCCCGTCCGTCTTGGCCTCAACGTCACTGGTATCATCCTATGGGGAGGCTGTGTCTGAAACCCCCGACACGCTTGGCTGCCACAAGGGTTGGGGATTATGCACAGCGGGTCGTACATCAACCCCTCCATCACAACCCGTGGTGAGACAAATCCTGTCCCGGATGGAGCTGAGGAAAAGAGTTGCCGCCAAGCAACTGGCCAACGCTCATCCCACCGGGTCATCCTTGGCATCCTAGGCATGCATCGGAGACTAAGTTAGCGCTGCGGCCAGTCTAACAGAAATTCCAAGTCATTATGCACGACATGTGATTGTGGCTGTCCTTATCTCGCTTCAAGTCCTGCAGGTTCCATAGATTTCCACGGAGCTTCGGAGTTTTTCACGGCCTCTTGGCTCCGTCTTAGGGTGCATCAATTAGGTGAGATGATGCACTTGATCAGTGAAGAGGAACGGAAGGAAATGTTGGCAGATCTCATAGTGTATTCACCCGTCCTTCAATGGATCGCCGGGGGAAAAGAAATTGCCTCTTTCAATTGTGTTTTATTTTGAAGATTCCCTGTGTCTCTTTGCCAGTTCATCCTCTTCATTTCTCTCCCATCGTAGTCAATAACATCCAACATGGACCTTGAAAAAGGCGCACTCGGTGGACTTGCAACATCTCTGAAGGCTGAACTTGAGCCACAGCATGCCGACCTCCTACTTTTCGCTTGTTGTTTAATATCGGGACTTATGGATAGCACAATATACAGAGGTACGGACAAGCCCAACTCCTGTCTACTCAACTACGGCACATCTAACATATGTAGCCTACAACACCTTTGTCTCTATGCAAACAGGTAAGGTTACAACCTCACCCATCCATAATCCAACGTGATGGTCGACTAATCACAGTGGTGTGTAGGAAACACCATCTTCGTCGGACTAGGTACATCGCACCAAAACCTCCGTCGATATGGCTGGGCACGTTCCCTCACGTCCATCGGATGTTTCACCCTAGGATCCTTCCTTTTTGCACGATTACACCGCGTCCTGGGAGCTCGGCGACGAGGGTCGTTGATGCTGTCTTTCCTGTTACAGGCCAGTATAATCCTGCTAACGGCTGGACTCGTCCAAGGGGGTGTCATATCTGGTACGCTAGTCGGCAAAGGATCGCAGAAGGCACCCCCATGGGATCAGATAGTCCCGATTGTTCTTCTTAGTCTCCAGTCTGCCGGTCAGATTGTAGCGAGTCGTGCTTTGGGATTTAATGAGATCCCGACCGTTGTGATTACCAGTCTTCTCTGCGATCTAATGTCGGATCCTCAGCTATTTCTTGTGAGGAATGTCAAACGCGACCGGCGAATCGTCGCTTTTGTGCTAACGCTTGTGGGCGCCATCGTCGGCGGATGGGTCACCAAGGTCACTGAGGGGATTTCTCCCATTCTCTGGCTATCGGCAGGTATCAAGGGCGTGCTCGTCTTAGCCTGGGCCTTTTGGAAGGCTAAGTAGGGGACATCGTCGTGAGTTTCTCCGTTCAGTCTTCAGGCTATCAAAGGCAGATTTGGCACAACCATCGGGAATGTTGGTATTATACTATTCAACAGATTAACCGAATACACGCCAAAAATAGAGTCTTGCGCCGTTTATCTCCATCCACTACGGTCGCTAGTCCGTTGCCATATTCGAAAGAGGCAGATACACTGGATGGGTCCGGTCGGATTGGGGCACGATGCAATGATGAACGCTCTGTTTCAAGGGTTATCTACGGGAGAATTTCCAGTCTATGCTCGAACAGTTTCTAGCTTTATGCCCTCCCCTGTTGTACGCTACAGCTAGGAGATAAAACACACCCGAAATTGCACACAAAAGGAGGGTCTTATAGGCGGCCGTCCATTCTTGTTTACATATAATCTCTCCAGTCAATTTCGATGATCTACGTCACAATATCACTCCAAAAAAACCCATTATCCCCTCTTTGGATAAACACAGTTGGTCCTCATACCTCGGGAATTGCAGGCTTGTGGGTTAGGGACAGTTCCGCGCGACGGAACGTTCCGAGGACATCAGATACAAAAGCCACCTGAAGCGTCTGCGATATCAAGAATCCTGAATCTGACATGATTCGATTTCTTCTTTAACAATAAAAATGTCTTCTAAATTGACTGTCACGGGGGTCCAAGGCCGCCAAATCACGAGTAAGTCTATCTTCGCCCTAGATGTGATCGATGCTAACGGACCCAGTTCCGACGGGTCTCTTCATTCACAATGAATTTATTCCCTCGTCTACGGGTCAAATGCTGGCTGTGGAGAATCCCTCAACTGGCAATCAACTTGGAAAAATCTCCGCCGCGGGCCCGGAGGATATCGACAAGGCTGTGGAGTCGGCCCAGTCAGCTTTCAAAACATGGAGAACAGTTCCCGGACCTGCCAAAGCTCAGCTATTGCTCAAACTCGCAGAGCTGCTCGAGCGCGATGCAAAAGATTTAGCATCATTGGAGGCTGTTGACGCAGGCATTCTGTATGCCGATTCGATCGGAATGAACATCCCCCAGGCGGTCGGCTGTCTGCGATACTATGCGGGCTGGGCTGGCAAGATCGACGGCAAGACACTTGACATGGAAGGTGGCATTGCCTATACCCATCGGGAGCCTTTGGGTGTCTGTGGCGCGATTGTGCCTTGGAATGCTCCACTGTAAGATGTCCACTCCCAGCGATCTATCACCCTGAAAACCCCGAAGACGTCTAACATGTTCTCAGAATGCTTACTATTTGGAAGCTGGCTCCGGCTCTGGTCACTGGAAACGTTTTGATCATCAAGTCTTCTGAGCTCTCGCCATTATATGCCCAGAAGCTTGCCGAGCTGGTGAAGGAGGCTGGCGTTCCTCCTGGGGTTGTTAACATCGTTACAGGCGAGGGCGCCAGCGCAGGCCAAGCCCTGTCAGAACATATGGATGTACGCAAGATAGCATTCACTGGTAGTGCGCTTGCAGGTCGCAAGATCTTGCACGCAGCATCGCGAACCAACCTAAAGAAGGTCAGTCTAGAACTCGGCGGCAAAGGGCCGTCTATTGTCTTCGATGACTGCGATATTGAAAACGCACTTCTCTGGACTCGCATTGGTATCACAGCCAACAATGGGCAAATATGTGCGGCTGGGTCACGTATTTATGTTCAGGCCTCTATTTATGATCGATTTATCGAGGCTTACAAGAAGGCCGCCTCCGATGCTGCAACAGTCGCCGGTAATCCATTGGATGTTACCACAACAAAGGGACCGGTGGTTAGTCGTGCGCAGCATGAGAAAATTCTTGACTTCATTCGTCAAGGAAAGAAATGTGGAGCCAAGCTTCTATTTGGTGGTGAGCGGATCGGCGACAAGGGTTATTTCGTCGAAAACACTGCTTTTGCAGACGTCGGTGATGATGCGACAATCATGCGAGAGGAAATCTTCGGTCCCGTTGCAGTAAGCAAGCTTCCATGCAAGACTAACTATGTGTTTGAATACTAATCCGGGCACAAATTGCAGAGTATCGCCAAGTTTACCACAGAGGAGGAAGTCATCTTCAAAGCCAATGACTCTCATCACGGCCTCAGTGCTGCCATCTTTACCAACGATGTTAACCGCGCTCATCGCGTGACTGAGGAACTCGAGTCAGGCCAAGTGACTGTCAATGCGTGGGCAATGCTCAGCCCCAATGTTCCATTTGGGGGTGTGAAGGAAAGTGGATTCGGACGAGACATGGGCGAGGAGGCTCTCGAGGGTTGGACTACTATTAAAGCTGTCAAGTATCACATTCTTCCACGGCTCTGAGTGTCATTATAGCTATACAGGTTTCTCACCGCTCAATTTGTTGCGCAGTGCTTTTCTTGGTTCTCCTGGTCCTAAATAGAACTGTACACTCTTGAATCTAGGACACTCTTGAATCTAGGACACCCTTGAATCTAGGACACTCTTGAATCTAGGACACTCTTGAATCTAGGACACTCTTGAATCTAGGACACTCTTGAATCTAGGACACTCTTGAATCTAGGACACTCTTGAATCTAGGACACTCTTGAATCTAGGACACTCTTGTGCAGTCATATCTCTTTTCATTGTCTTGATAAGGCAGAGGAAAGACGAAAACCATACCACAAATCGCTCGGAAGGAACGTCTCAGAAACGATTCCAAAAAGATGTCAGCCAACAGCCGCTTCGTTTCAAATGCTCGCTCATCCTATTCCTTCTTGCTAACAGATGCGCCCATTGGAATGGGTTGCATTTTGTGGAAAACGTTCTTCGGGTCATATTTCGCCTTCACCTCTTGCAGTCTCTGGAGGTTCTCGCCATAGATATTGCTTACGACAGAGTCACCAGCTGGGTGCGATGTTAGTACCTATTGAGGTGCAGTTAATGTTGAGTCAATCGGACTTACGTTCTGCGTAGTTGATGTACTGAGGCACGCTCAAATCAACTCCCTGGTCTTTGGTTCTGGTATCCAATTCAGCTTTCCACTTGGACTGAACTTCTCGCGCCCAAGCACGGTGCTCCAGATCTTTGGATGGGTCGGTCCATCTCAAGTATATGATCCCATTCTGAGTAAAATTTCGGCTTGCCAGCGCGGTTTCAGTCAACGGCACTTCGCAAATCTTGCGCATGTCGGTAAACTCGAGAATGATGGCAGACGCCTTGAGATCTGGTTCACTCTGAATCTTGGCGATGAAATCATTGAAGATTACCCTCGCAAAGTGAGGATCCAATGGTGGCTCATAGAAAATGCCCTTGAAAGACTTTCGATCACCGTAGGTCGCTTGCAGGTTCTGTAGTGTGTTCACCATAGAGTACGGGATCATATCAAGGGTATTCAGAACTGGCTCAAGGGCTGTGAAGCTGGCGAATTTCTTTTGGCCTTCTTCACGTGGGCCGTTGTAGAAGCCAATGACGATGATCATCGGCCCAGATCCATCTGGTGCCAATGCGAAAATGGACATCGCACCGAAGCGAGAGTCAGGTTTTGCCAGGGATTCGTTCAATGCACCCATAACTCCTTCCAACTTGTTGGGAGTGAATCCCAGGAGGCCAGAGTACACTGGATGTTTCTGATCATAGGCCTGGTAGGTGAAGTCTGCCACGACGCCAAAGTTGTAACCTGCACCTCGCAAACCCCAGAAAAGGTCGACGTTCTCAGTGGCAGAGGCCGTAACAAACCGACCATCGGCTAAAACGACGGTCGCTGACAGGAGATTATCAATAGTGAGGCCGTACTCGCCGCTCAGCCAGCCATAACCACCCCCTAAAGTGAGTCCTCCAACGCCGGTATGGTTCACGGTGCCCCCTACGGCCGCCAAACCGTGAGCCGCACCGGCTTCATCGACTTCCTTCCAAGTTGCTCCACCCTGGGTGGTGATAGTTTTTCGCTCGGTATCCACCGACACTTGGTTCATGCGCGACAGATCAATGACCAGGCCACCATCGCTCGAGCTTGTGCCAGCGGTTGAATGACCTCCACCTTTCACAGCAAGATCAATACTATGCTCTTGTGCCCACGACAGCGCGATCGAGATATCCAAAACATCAATGGGTTGGACTACGACGCCCTGCAACTTATCAGTTGGTCATATCTTGTTTGTTATGTTTTATGTTCTTCCATACCGCGTATTTCATCCCAGTGTCCGACCAGCGGACTATAACATCTTTGTAGCTCTCTGATTCGGAAGTATAGACAGTCGCGGTCTTTAGGCGGCTCCGCAGAGCCTTGAGAGCTGTATCATCGATTTCGGGCATGGCTGAGAGTGGAAGAATTGGTGGGCACAAGAATTTTACCCCGCGGCCTTGTGGGTATTTCCCTATGTCCCCGTAACACTTGAGTAACACTCGTCTAACACAAAGCGAGGATAGAACTGGACTCGGTGATAGCTTGCGTGCTGCCTTCAGAATTGCCTCTATCTTGTATTTTGCTTTCGATCCGCTCACAAATTTACATAGCCATTGCGGTTCGCACAATGTCTTGGCCGTTGTTTCGCCGTTGTTGTCTGCCGGCTATATATATTTGAGTCAAGTGGCTCTTGGAAATTTCTTGTTGAAAATAGTACAGATAGAACTATACTGTACTTATGGATTGCGAAGCTGTCTATGTCTATTCTCTTCACACTTGGAATAGAAGCCCGTATTTATCGACTGCGCTTCTACCCTGTAATAATCTCTCACTTGTTTGAATTTGTAATGGACAGAAAGACGAATAACAATGCTAGATCCTGCTGACTGAAAGCAGCCTGGACTGAAATATTTGCCTGGGATACAGGGATACAACACGATGCAAATTGTATGCGAAAAAGCATAAGCGATGTCAAGCTGCATCGAAGTGCGTCGGTAATGCGTCGGCAATGGTCCAGATTCTTGGCAAGTTGAAATGCCGAGTACATGTAGGGTTAGCGTTGAAATCCCGCTTCCATGTCAATTACGGCGAATTAACTGGGATTCTCAACATTTCTTTCCTAGACTATTTTAAGACCTGCTGAGAATACTTTGCATACAACTCTGAATACCACCGCTGGCCCACGTCCGGATGGCTTAGGATGCGATTTCTCAAGTGAGCCTCGCCGAACTGCGATTGGTCAGTCCCATGCAGGAGATCCTTAAACCAGAATCACTCACGCAAGAATATAAAGGAGAAAGGAATTCACTCGGTACATCAACTGCCCGTTTCTTCTTGTCCTCGGAGGCCGGAATGCGTTGCACGATGTGAGCGGCGGATTCCTTGAGCTGGTCTAGCGTCAAGTCTAGTCTCACGCCCTGGAAGAACGGAATACTATAACGCGTCTGAGAAGTGGGCGCCTAGGGGTAGCAAAATGTTAGAGAGCTCGTCCAGTGGTGAATGGTATGGTAAACGTACGATAACTCGGTGTGTTGTGGCTGCGCAAATCCCTCCAGTGATGGCTTCGAATCCCTGTTGGATATTTACAACAAGACTCCCCTCGATAGGAGGCACATCGATCCATTCCCCCTTCTTATTGAGTACCTGTAGTCCTCCTGTGTTGTCCTGGGACAGGAAAGTAAAAAGACCCGCCGAGTCCTTGTGAGGGCCGACACCCTGGGAGTTTCGCGCTGCCGGTGGGTATTTCACAAACTTCAGCCGGCTCATATTACCCTTGAAGCCATCAAATGTCTCCCGTGGAAGGGACAAGCATTCTGCGACGAGACGTACGAATGCCTGCGCCAGGCTATCAGTCTTTGCGATGTATTCTTCGACCAGATCTTGAGCCCCTGGGCAATCTGGGTACTGTTGAGAGTCAGTGGTTGGAACGCGCGTTTAAAGGGGTGACTTGCTTGATTAGTTCCTTCAAGCCGTTGCCAAAATGGGTCCTGCTCTGTCCATGGTTTCACGCCAGGAGTGCCAAAGTCAAATTGCTAGAACAACCGGAAAATTAGTATCCGAGAACTGTGGCTGGTCCGAAAAGGAAATAAACCCACTTCACGGAGATCTGTTTTTGTCGCAGTGGTCTCGGCACCGAGGCGAGTATAGCCAAGAAAAGATGGCGAGTTGATCATATTGCATTTCTCCTTGGCCTCTGCCGACAGCTCAAATAGCTTAGGTAGATTTTCATGGGTATGGTGAATTAGGCTCTAGCTCAAGTTTGGGTCAGCCTATCTCGTTCACCCCCAGTGCTTGTCACTCACCTCCAATCCTGTGTTGGTCAAATATAGGAACCCAACGATGAAGATGGCTTCACGCAAATTTGAGAGCTCCTCATCTTTCGTCACAGGGTCATTGAGCCGAGCGAAGTCGACGATCGGCACGGATGAAAATGTCTCTGTCATTCCGCCTATTGCGATTAAGTGAAGTGCTTTTGTGATTGCGATTTGCTTTCCCCGCAGATTCACTGTCTAGGTAAATATGCGGGGTGGAACAGGGATTACTCAGCCACGAGATCGTCCACGGGTCCACGGTTGACCTCGGGGAGAAGTTATATGGGAATATTTCGCAGAGTCCAGAATCTATGGTAGATATGCGAAATTTCTCGGAGATCCGAAGATCGGAGATCGAGGTTGTTAAAGACTTGATTAACTCATGTGATCACGCCATTTGCCCCGTATTGTTGAACCCTCCACCATGAACATAGAAACATTATGCAGAGGAAATTTCTCATTGCCAACTCTGAACTCCTATGGGAGAATGAAGGCCTATGCCCTGAAATTGGTGGATTGATGGAAATACAACCTCCCTTTGACGCTTCCGAATGCCAAGATCGTGATTTCTCTTGAAACCCCGGAACCCTTGGCAAGAACCCACCGCTGGCGTTTCAGATCATTTGTGGAAGTTCTTCCGGTGAAGAGGTCCTGTGCATAAATGAAGAACCATTTCATCGCCCTGATTATTTTCCATCCAAACGGTCTCCATCCATTAAGGTGTGCACGGGTGTCCGGTCCGTGACCCCAAAGGGCTTAAGCCCGTTCTAGACTTAGGACTTCGATCAATTTATGCCAAGCTTTGTGTCTCAGAGGAAACATGATGTGACTTAGCTGTCACAAGGAAGGCCCCTGGGGTGACAATCTGATACATGACTCGTCGGAGAATTAATACCATCGCGTCCATCTCGGTAAATCTTCGGTTCGGCCTGACCGGAAGAGATTCTCCAGCACGGAAATTCTCCAAAGATCAGGATGATGGTGGACGTAGCTTGTTTCAGGAGCTACCATAGCCAAACCTCCCCTAGAATTATGAAGCTCTTGAGTGCTATATAAACCCCTTCGGTCGACCGTGATATACTCTCATGTTTTAAAATCAACACTCACACACTCCGCCAAAGTATCCTGGAGACTCAGTTCACTCTTTCATTCCTTCGAGATCTCTTTCTGTATCCACGATGGCTCCTTTCAACTTGATAGCAGTTTCTCTGCTTGGCTGCTTGTCTAGCCTTACACTAGGAGCTCCTACTGCAACCACCAATCTGGGAAAGCGCGCAAGCGTCGATGATGTGAGTATCAATGCGTGATTCGTTCAAGCACTTTCTGGTCAACATCCTAACATGGCTCCGACTTAGGTCGCTACTGGTTATGCCAGCGAGAATGGAGGCACCAAGGGTGGTGCTGGTGGCACTACTACCACTGTCTCATCGTATGCTGCCTTCACGGCCGCAGTCACGGGCGATGATGCCAAGGTTGTCTTTGTTGACGGCACTATTACGGAGGCGGCCAAGCAGGTTCGTGTTGGAAGCAACACTAGCATCATTGGCAAGGACTCGAAAGCCATCCTGAGCGGCTTCGGCCTGTATGTTGTCATTCCTAACATCCATTCGAGACGATGCTAAACCAATATAGTCTGGTCAAAGAACAAACCAACGTCATCATCCGCAACCTAGGTGTGCAGAAGGTGCTCGCTGATAACGGCGACGCCATTGGTGTTCGTGAGTAGCTCATCCAGAAGGATATCCATTGAGGGAAGAGGAGAAAGGCTGACTTGCCTTAGAAAAATCAACCAATGTGTGGATCGACCACTGCGATGTGTCGTCTGACATGGACCACGACAAGGACTACTATGACGGACTCATCGATGTAAGTTCAGAGAACAAGATGCGGAATTAGAATAAACCACTAATATGAACAAGCTCACCCACGCTGCCGACTTCGTCACTGTGTCCAACACCTTCATCCACGACCACTACAAGGCCTCTCTGATTGGACACTCGGACAGCAACGGTGACGAGGACACCGGTCACTTGCGTGTCACCCAGAACAACAACTACTGGTACAACCTCAACTCACGTGGCCCTTCCTTCCGCTTTGGCACTGGCCACATCTACAACAACTACTACCTGAACGTTGCCGACGGCATCAACACCCGCCAAGGCGCCCAGCTTTTGGTTGAGTCCAACACCTTTGTGGGTAGCAAGAAGCCCCTCTACTCTACCGACTCTGGCTATGCTGTGGCCAATGACAACGATTTCGGTGATGCTGAAAACACTGCTGAGGCTGGAACCCTCAAGTCGGTTCCCTACGACTACAACCTGCTTGGCTCAGCCAACGTTAAGGCTGCCGTGGTTGGTACTGCTGGTCAGACACTCGTCTTCTAAGCGCAGTCGTCGAGAGAATCATGTAGCAAGCAGGGAATCGCTGTCCGAGAAGCGCAATTTGGGTCTATTTTGTCTGAATTTGGTGCAGTTTAGTCTCTAGGAAATATCGACGAATTCTACCACGGTATAGCAGAGCACCTTATCAACCAAATCTAGAGAGTGAGGTAGAGAAAAGAATGGAGCCATGTCCATGGGATAGAGGACGTATATCTACACCATTTCTTTGGCACTGGTTCAATGATTCTACGAGTGAACTAAAGCCAAGCAAGTAGTACCTAGGTAAATAGGCATGTATGTACTCCGTAGTCTAAAAATAATTAAACTATTTTAAACTATTTTGGGAGACTGGATCGACCCACTAGGGTCCTGGATTTGGAAGGCGGTCTCTGAAAGGCAGAATGCCCAGTGGGGTATTCACCCTGATATTCCTCAAGCAAGCATCCATCAAATGAATATCCTTTTGGCCTTCGGGCCCCAGTTTTTTATATTCCGGTTGTAGCACTAGGCAGCTACTGACATATACACCAGATTCTTGACCGTTTCCCATATGCCAGTCGTCGGGTAACTGTGGAGGATTTACTCAAGCACCTTTCGAGGGGCTCGAACGTTTTGAATACAGGGCAAAGCCTCTATACATATAGCTAGCCTTACTATGTGGTCTATGGAATTTGGGGCGCTTGAGCTGACTTCCCAATGCGGCTCATATCAATGATTTTAGCGAAGTGTCGGTAGATAGGTATCTATGATGTCCTTCGTTCGACGGTCACACCCACATACAGACATGCTATATAAACAAACCAATAGCAATAGTAGAGTATGCAGGGTGCAATTCACCTTCTTCGTAATCTTGGGCCTGGGTCACGGTCTGTCAATGCCGCACACATTTTGGTCGGAACTTACCAAAGCTTTAGCAAAATAGTGCATCATCTCATTTTCTTCTTCAATCCATGTTCTTTGCCTTGTCGAAAGACTCTCGGAGAATGTTTGGGCAGAATCCGAATCTATCCAGAGGACCCTCCCCTGATCCCTGGAGATCATCATATTCCTTGGCATAGGATCGCCCTGAAGAACCCCCGCAAGATGAATGTCCTCGAGTATATGACTAAGTTCACGCAGGTATTGCGATCAGAAGTTGGAAAGGTCTGTTGGCTGCATGTTCGGGACATATTCAATGAGGATGGCATTTGGAGACAGCTTGCCATCAAGAAACATTTACAGGCTGGGCCAGAGAGTCGGTTGTACGTTGGTGATTGGTCCGTAGAAGTCTGGAACGGCCCCTCGGTCCCATAAACACTAGCTTTCAGTCGATAATATGCAGTGGATTCACAAACAAAAAGGTCCACTTCTCGGTCGGGAGGATCGTGTTCAGAGGGACCTCTATCATGATACTAAAAGTGGTTAGCGAGGAGTTAGGCTAAAATACTTGCGCTTACCACCTTCATTACGCTGTTGTCCTATGGATAAGCACCTTGCCTTGAAAACTACAGAGTTCTTCGACTCTTGCAACTTCTGAAGGAACGTCACATCGCCAATCCCCAATTCACAAGGCTCTTGAATCATGAGTGTTTGAATATCAAATTCAATCGAGCAGAAGTGCAGAAGGTAGGAGTGTTATAATTATCCGGGAGGGTAGTTGTGTATAACACTTCTAAAGACCACGTTGACATTTCACGCGACACCGCTTTACTGATTTGGGGGGGGGGGTACTTTGTCGACGAAAAGAGAGCAAAAAAGGCATAGTCAAGACGATCTGTATTGCCAGATTGCCAGCTAATGAGAGGACTAGGACTAAGGAGAGAGAGAGAAAGAGCGAGAAGAAGGAGGCGCCTTCATCTCCATAAACAAACAAGCATGACTAGCCTGAACAATAATCAGGCTTGCGTCATTGCCTATGCCTGGAATGACGCTCTTTCCCAGAAGGGAGTCTAGCATCTTCTGTATGGCTAGTGCCACGACCCTGGCCCCGACCTCGTCGGAGAGAGAGAAAGTGCTTAGGTTGGACATGCAAGGGCGGTCATAAGGGGCTTAAAGGACGGCACGTGATTATGATTGGCTCACTCGGCGCCTGTGTCAGGAACCTTTCCTCATTTGAGCACCTTCCATGTGCACCAGGTATATCACTCTGATCAGTCTCTAAGTAATAAGTGAGTGGTCAGTGAGTCATCAGTGAGCGATCAGGGATCAGAATCAGTGGGCGCTCACGGAGCATTCATTAGACCTCACTAATTCACCACATGATGGCTCTGAGCAGCTCACTGAGTCTGAGGGACTAGAATTTACTCAACCTGACTCTGATCGCCCTCATAAAAGCGGGGGCAGCTAAGAGAGGAAAGCCCCACCCGGCAGAAGAAATATGGTATGGATAAGCCTGTTCCGTCCTACGGTTAGGTGAACTACTCCGTACCTACATAGGTACATGTAGGTAAACGTTTGACACCTAAACTTGACTTCGGCCAGAGGAAAAGGCAAAAGTAACGTCCACGGGTGATCAGATGCAAGTCCGAATAGACAAGAGAGATAATAAAGCTTTTGCGGAAATATCCATGCATATATCAATTTAGATATATTTTGGAAGCTAATTACCGGGTACCCATAACATAAAATGATTCACGCTCCAGTCCATGCAGGCCAAATCCAAACTCCGCCACAGTTCTGTAAAATGCTATTTCCTCAAAGAGTACGGTCTCTCAGGAATGAATTCAATGAAACCAGGTCTTCACTGGGCGCTGGCGTGGGAAGAGCAATTTTAGTGGCATCAAACTCCCATGCGGCCTCACGTGCGTTCTCGTTCGATTTGAGATGGAAAGACATCATCCACTCTTTCATTCTGCCCTCCAAGGATCCCATCTCACGGTTTCGTTCCCACATACGACGGGACTTTTTGAATGCATGGTCGATTGTATCGCGACGAAGAGTCTCGTATGCGTCAAAAGCCTCCGTCAGAGGCTCCGAACGATAGCTAGCCAGAATTCGAGAGAACAAGATTGCGTCGTCCAGTGCGTATGCAGCCGACTCATCACGCGGGGGCATCTATATGACTTGTCAGAAAGTAACAAACAGTGTGGTTATGATTGAGACATACCGCGTGTGCTGCATCGCCCAGCAAAATAACTCGATTCAGACACCAACGCCCTCCTGGGCGAACTTGATATACGGGATAAAGCATCCAGTCCGCTTTACTCTCAATCATTTCTTTGATACATGGAATGGCACATTTGCCAAAGCGGTCTCTGATCTCCCCGCGGAGGGCGCAGCGAATTCTGTTCTGGGTGGCCCAATCCTGACCGGGCTCCAGTCGATAACGGCTGAGGGCCTCCCGACTAAATTGGACGATAGCAGCAGCGAAGATCTGTTCACAATCACGGTCACAATAGCTCGCCAGCATTGAACCATGTCGCGAGATATTGAGCGATGATGTGCGGAAGTGAGCGGGCGATGAAATTGAATCTGAGTCGATCGTGGCCTGCAAGAACGACAACCCCGTGTATTCAGCAGGCCGGTCGACATCCACAAACCGGGTGCGGACCGCCGAGTGGACGCCATCGCAGCCGATGATCAAGTCTGCCACTGCCTGTGTGCCATCCTGAAAACGCACGACGGCTCTATCCTCGAATTCCTCCCCACCGATCACCTTCTTGCCGAAGACAACCTCCACATTCCGAGCCCGCTCCGCCACGGTCAACATGGCTACCGACAGAGAAATGCGCATGACCCTTCGGCCCTTGTATCCACCAAATCCCTTTCCTTTATTGTCTGTGAAGTTGATGGAGCCGATTGGGCGACCCGAACGCATGGAGAAAAGCTCAATGGCGTCAACATCGGCACCGCCCTCGGGACCCATCCGGTCCAACTCATCTAGCACGCCTAGCTGGGCAAGATGTCTTTGGGCGACGGGGGTTAGATTGATAGCACCGCCGGAAGTCGATAGTACATCATGTCGTTCGTAAACAGTAATTTTCAGGTTCGGTACGAAGGGAGAAAGCTCCCTGGATATGGCCAATGCACAAGCGATGCCAGCGATGCCAGCGCCGATGATGGCGATATCCTGTGGGGGTCGAATTGGCGCCATTGTATGGACCAAGTAACTAGAGTGTGTGTGTCAAGATTTCAGAGAGAGAAGTGCCGTGAAGGAAATTCTCTTGGCATGAGTATATCGCAGAATTTTTCCAACTGACGATTCCCGCTCTCTCATCGAGAATTAATATACACTATGCACCTAAAAAGGCTAACGGGCAGCCTAGAAGCCTCGAAAGATTCGGCCGGGGCAGGAGATCCTTCGGCATGTCAATCCGTGGATTCCGAGGTGGAGTCTCACAATCACAACCATGGTTATCACAAATTTGAGTGCATGCCTTACATTGGATGTAGCTTATTGAAACAGGGTATGGAAGTATCCAGGTGAGCAGTGGCGAGTGCCCAGGTGGCGTTAAGTCTGGTGGAATATGGGAAGGTCCGTGAGACTTTTACACAAAGAAAATATGAGCTCAAGAATTAATTGCGGAAGGAGCTCGGGGGAAGCTAAGAACGGGAAGGATCCCGTTGGACCGGAGAAATTGACAGGACCGTTTGTCCCTTTGTCTTACTTTCTTCCCAAGATTGTCCATTTTGGGACTGGACGATCACTAGAAGACCAGTAGAAGACCACTTAGAGTCCTTACATCCACTTTTGACTGGATCAGCTCCAGTTATTTAGATTTACTGTTCCCAGTTCCACTTCCATGACGTTCCAACTTTTTTCTTCTTACGAGTCTGGGGTTAAGTCCTGTGCTCTTTGATATTATATTGGATGTAGCTCGGCAAGGATTTCAATGGCCCCATTAACCTTCTATGACAATGCATATATTGCAATAATATTGCAAGGTTATTGGCCCCCCTTTTGGTGCTTTTGTTGCGCTAAACTTAAAAGAATCGGGCCTGTCACGAAATTTTTAGGTTTTTCTTCTGTTCTGCCGTTTTTTTGGGTTTCTTTCTTTTTAACCGAGATACACCTTCCAACCCAAAACACCGGTGAAATATGGCAATATCAAACACTGGGATCATTGTTTGGTTCTTATTTCGAAACTCCACCAGAAGACGTCTGCTTCTGACTCGGCCGTTGGGGCACAGATGACTTTAAATTCCAGAAGGCGGTGAAGGAACATAGGCCGCATATCCCCGCTGTGCTCGTTAGCGTTGAGACATGAAGAAATCAGACAGGGGGGTAAACGAACCCAACACACAATTCATTCCATAGTATCCGATTTTTTCCGTACCATATCCGGAGATAATCGGCCCAATAAACATCCCCAGTGTCCAACTGATACTAGACACTGATATCGCCCTCGAATACCCGCCATTCGGACCAAAGATTCCGGCGCTCTCTCCTTCGATCTCATCAACCGCTTCTGCAAAATCGTTATGATCCACTCGCCAAAGTGACTAATTCAGAAAAAAGAAAAAAGAACTTACGAGTGGCTTCCATCATACCCACCCCGTTGAGCAAGCATATCACAATCCCGATACATGTGACAGCTACGCTGTATATGATCGAACCAATCTTCTCTTCACAAGCCCAGGGAAACCGTTCGTCCCCAGGCACACCGATCAGCCACATTAAAGGTACCAGAAGGGCAAACCCGATCGTGGTCGGGTATCGAGTCCCCACCCGATCCTTCAGCCAGCCCACAGGAACACTAAAGAACACCGCGGGGCCCTGGAGAGCGGCAAATAACAAACCAGCGGGGAGGCTTCCCCAATGAAAGGCATCGCGCACATGGAGAGGAAGGGTCGTGTCGAAGCTGGCGGTTAGAATGGCGTAGCAGAAATAACTAACTACCCCGCCAACGAAGCGACCGTTGCCACACAGGCATAGATAGAATTGTATACCCGTTTTTTCCGATAGAGCTTGACTGCTTACCTGTGGTTCTGGATCAGTTGATGGTGGCAAAAGTGTCTCCCTCTCTGGATCCTGCCCGTCCCGATCCGTGCGAACAGGTTCGCTAGTTTCCCGCGACCGCTCCAGCATCAGACATCGCAGAATCACATCAAACACAATAACGAAAAGCACACTCGACCATGCCACCCAATACCCGCCTACATCGAACAGAACCCCAGCCACAAGTGGTCCGCCCGATGTCCCTACGCCAATGGCAACAGTCACGAAGCCATACATTCTGCCCAGCTCATCGGCGGGAACGTTGTCCGCTAGAGTGGCAAAGCCTACCACCCAGAGACCAGTGCTGGCAAGAGACTGTATAAGGCGACCGGCAAAGAGAGTGAACACTGCGCTGACATTAATCACCTCGCTGGGCCGCGAATAGCCGCCACTTACATGAAGTCGCCAAAGCGATTATGAAAGAGCCTAGCAATGCGCCCGCAAGCCCAAATAACAGCCAGGCACGTTTCGCACCAGAGCGATCAGCATGAGACCCGATCAGGGGACTTGCCACGACCATGACGAGCGCGGTCTGGGATAGCAGCGCTGTGCTTATGCGCTGGGTGAGCGAGACGTCAAGTCCCAGTCGATGCTCCAGCACGAACGGAAGAATTGGAACGAGAAATCCATACAGATACATATCTATGGGCTGGGTCAAGATATGCGCCTTTTGTTTGATAATTTTGTAAGAGCCTACCGGTGAGCAAGGCCACTGCCATTGTCGCGACAATGAAATAACTGGATGATCGCCATCGAAACCCCCATGGCTCTTGTTGGTTTGATTGGGCTCTCATAGTGTGCACGGGTTCAAAGTTTGTTTCATGAGCTTAATGATCGGTTCAGTGGAAAAGGGGGGCCGTTCTTGGATTTTACGCAGACCAACTAGCCCGGCCCCCTTCGGTCTAGCCCTGGGAGGAAGGTAAGCTCGCTTATTAATGTCTAAATTGAAATGCATTCATCACCTGTGGAAGGATTTTAGACGACTCTACGTGACTCATCACGTAATTGTCCGAAATGTTCCAGCTAAGCCGAACGGAGTTGATGAGCCATCCCTGGCTTGTCAAAATCTGTCGGCAGAGCAAGCGCTTGCATTAGTTGCGCTACGGCTGAACGATTGGATAGATCAGCCACAAAGGGAAAAAAAAGTCGATAAATCGCAATATATTTGCAAATACTCCCAATCAAATAGAATAGTCTAGATATTGACTATTCTGAGTGTAGATCGCCGTCGATATGCACTACGGAGTAGAGATCATCGCGTCGTTGGCTAATCAGTCACCCATGCAGCACTACAACACTTACTTATCTACCAGAAAACAGTTCTTAGGATTCCAATTAAGTTCTATCATGCTTGATGGCATTGAAAAATTCGTTGACTCGTAACGCATTGCGTCATATCACTTAAAACACAGGTTCGCCGCTCACCGAGATCACATTCCCTTCCCCCCGTCCGCATAGCAAAGGGAATAGAAGAAACGGCGTGTATACAAAAAGCAATAGCTCAAATAGATCCTTTCACATCAAAGTCTCTTGATGGCAAGCCAGCGTCCACTCGCCATCCGACCCTTGGCTCCAAGTCGTCGAGCCCGAGGCAGTGTATTCTTTCTTCCCGCGTACAGCGCGGACCTTATATGTGACGACGCCTGCCATCAGGTCGACAATGATGACTCGTACCTCCTCAAACTGATAGGCGTCGAATCGGTGAAAGGGTGGTCGGACGGCTTTCTTGAAAGCGTCCTCGTCCTCGAGTGTGATGATGGGCATCTGAGGGAATAGGAAACAGGCTTCAGGGCTGCTGAGTTTCCAGATGGCTGGTGCTGGATCAGCGGATGTGAGGGCTGTCCAAAGCGCACGCTCTTTGTTGAGGAGGTCCTCGCGGATACGTTCGTGCATTGAAGGCATGATGGGTATGTAATTATGGTTGTGCAGGACTTGGCTGATAAGAATATCGAGGCAACACGCTAGTTGAACTGTTTTGCGATGCAAATGCGAATGGTATGGTATTCTTAGACAAAACTAGAGAAGACAAAAAGTAATCCACAATGACTTTGAGAGCCCCTGACCTTGATTTTATTGTTTTGCCCTCTGGTACCTATATTAAAAATGACGTCAGATGACGTTGAGTCCCAAACAATTTAATTTCCCGGGATCAGGGTATCCTATGGGATTTACCTAGGTAGGTTCTAAGTACTCTGCTGGAGCACTTGAATAGATATGCTTGACATGCGTCATGCTCCACGTTCAACGTCTGGCAGTGGCATGGTGGTTAAAAGCCTTGGTATCACTGGCATCCACAATTGACCTTCCCGCGTTCCGTTCATCTATGGAAGTGCAGTTTAGTTTTCGCTGGGTTGGTGCTGGTCACCAATCAGGTGGGATTACTGTTGTATTTTTTCTGGCGACCTTTGCGCTGATACTTGGACGCTGCCACTTCACATGTACCTGTACCTTGTGTTCCTATCTGAGCTGCTTTAACGAGGGCGCTTAGACTACATACATATATGTAGTCACTTTCATGATAACAGACCATATGTAAATGCCTATCAGATAATATGTTAATTGTTGAGGCTATAGCAACTGAGCAACTGGGAAAATCAGGAAGAAGGAATCTGCTGCGTTCAATCTATTCAAGAGAAAGGCCTTTTATAAAGGCCACAACAGCAAACAAGAAAGGCTCAGTCTGAAAAGCAAGGCATCACAAGGGCATCCATGGGAGATGGAATCATCCAACATTAATCATTACTGCCCTAGAGAGCTATCACTACAATGCCTTCCACTGCCATCAACAACCCAATCTTTGCCACACCTGTATTCGCATGGAAGCTGTTTTCCGGATCCCATAATATTCTTCACATGTCGGACCGGTCCGCCCCCAACTCCCGGTGAATCTCCAACCCCTATCAGCCTTACATGGCCCACCAAATTTTTACAAAGAGTACTCCCTAGGTCCAGATGCAAATACCACCGATATTTATGAGGGTCCGTCCATCCGTCGATCCATCGACACTATACTACATTTGCCCTTATCGGAGCCTGGCAATTACTACAGAATCATCGTCTTGTAGCTGAATATGTGCTGAAACTCCATATTTCCGGGGCTCGCTTCCCATCGAGGTGGGTCCGGACCCGGGTCGTTTCTCGAATGAGCTCGGGCAAGATCTTGCCAAGGTTTGGGGTAGGCCACTGTGAGCTAGATATCGATGCAGCCGCCAAGGCCCTCGAGCATCGCTTGCCCCGGGTAGATCTCCATTATAGTGTCCACTACACTCCACTCTGGAGGAAACCTCACGAGACCCTTTCCAGTATGAATTTGATGGTAAATTCAAGTTCTCTGTTTGGTGACACGCTTGGCTACTTTGCCATACCCGCGCCCTTTTTCTCTGTTCGCGCCCACATCTCTCGGCTGACGGCGTCCGGGAGGACGTCTGTAGTCGGACCTGTCGTCGAGCTGTATTTATCGAAACGAACCGTGAGAGCTACAACCAAGACACTTCCTTGGCGGCCGGGGGATTGTATATTAGTACGACCCAGGTCGAGCAGGATGGTTTGGTTCTGCCTCGGTAAGAATCTGAGCAGGGAGTGTGTTTCTGTCTGCTGGAGTTGTCTCTGGACTCAGACCATCCAGGAGCGGGGGCAGTAGTCTGGGTTATCCAAGATCAACACTGTCAGCCCAGAGCAATGTGTTGTCTTAGGGTTCAATCCTTCCAACTGTCAGTCTATCACATCACAAACCACAACCCGTATGAACTAAACTCGGGGGAAGGCTCTTGAGCAGGAAGTACATCAGTTGAGTTCTGGCTACCGGGATTATGAAGGAGCTCAATATGAGAAGTACCTTTTGGGAGTCATAGGCAAGGAAATAAAATTTGTTAAAGAAAGACTAGCTGCTAACATAGAATCTGAACTAGCATGTGCTCCCAAGGGAGGAATAGGGGGGTCGTCAGGTAGTCAGCCCTGGAGGTGAGCTTTGCTTACTAGTATCTACTAGTAAGCTAGATACTAGTGACTACCTGACTACCTGACGACCATTTCGCCCCTTGGGAAAGTCTTTCCACCACCTTTGCATACCACCCAGACGTTCCTCTCTGATACAATCTCATAGCTGTAGCCAGGTATTTTCGACTGCGATCCTGTAAGGATATTGATAGACGATAGCCCTCAATAAGGCCCATTTCTCTTTCCTTTTCGGCCACCATAGCGATATAAAATTCTCTATCCGCAAGTTTGGATATCACCTGGATCCTTCGCGTAGCCTTTCTGATCATAATTCCAAGGCGCGTCCATCTCAGGTGATATGATAGATAGGGTTAAAGGAAATTCGCTAGATATCTCCTACGGCCCTGCAAATGCGGCTTCGCAGTCGATAACACCTAGCAGCTTGTAGCATCGTCGAAAATCATATTATTATGGCGGCCGAAGTCACATGATATAAGGGAGAAGGACCTGTATTCCGGATAGAGAGGCTTCCAGCCAGAGTACCGACCGAAGATCTGAAGGAATCCGCAGATGATGATAATTCATCGGCAAGAGAGCCAGCTACCTCTTGCAATCTGTCCTTAGATAAGCCGAATTCGACATTGGCCGCCCATGCGTTAAAGGAAGTCTGCAGCTGTTTCCAAAGGACCACCTATTCTAGGAATAGGACCTTGTTGAAACGGTCCATCCTCATTTCTGTAAAGGATAGTCCCGATTTTCGGTAGTTGTACTCTTGAGAGCTCAACCTAAAATGACGACTTAGCGAAATATCTGTTTGATAATTCTAAATCCAGTTGTAAGATACCTGAATCTCTGCCATCCTAGCCAAATCATAATGTTTGTGGCTAGAAGGAACTGTCATGCCGAGATCTATTCCAGAGTAGCCCTTCAGGCAATCCATTAACATGAATTGCGCATTCACTCCGCAATCTGGGTCAAGTTCAATAGCATCGACTTTTGGGATAGGGATATTGGTGTGTTCCTTGACGAGCAAAATCATACTGTGTTCAAGATTCATAATGTCTTCGGCTTTCGAGCGATCGCTATTGTGGGATAAAGATTGCATCCGCATTCGGGCTATGCACCGCACATTGCCGTCAAATTCAATGACACGGAGCATATGGTTGTATCCGAGACCAATATCAGGCAAAATAATGCACTCTTTTCCACCTCGCACGGTGCTTGCGTATTCCGTAAACGCCTTCCAGACTGGAATCAATGAATATTTGCACTCTTCACCGCAGTACTTTGTCCGTAAGAGACGAGAGACGGAACCATCGGTAGCCTGTCAAAGCATCATTGACTATAATAGCATTCGCATGGGTGCAAATATCTGACCTGGTTAGGCATACAAGGCATCTTTTCCTTAGGGAAGCTTTTCAGCCTCTTCAGCGATCTTTCTTGGGTGAAGGGGAGGGTGTCATTTGAGATGGGTGCGTTAGGGATAAATATCTTCAAATGGCGGTGTGACTGCGACTGCGACTTGTCGAATGGACCCCTTGGATTCTTAGGTAGACTAACAATTATATACTAAGACAGTCAACAAAGCAAGATCTAGGATAAATGTCTTGAAATTTCTTCCTTCGTCTTTCAAGCGACGACTATCTAGTGGTGGTAATAGCAATAACAATTTTGTGACCGTCCACAACATCCGAGTTGCCGGGTTGATTACACGATCATCGTGGACCCAATCCCCAGTGATCCGCTCGGCTTCTTGACGAGAGCGAAGTCGGAGGCCGCGTTGTTGGAGCCAGTTAGTCCTTCACAGTCAGTCGAGCTATCACAGCCAGTCGACGTACCAGACCCAATCCGAATCCCACAGCAAACCAAGTCCCATTGCCTTTCCTTAGACACATACTCGCAGCTTTCCCAACTCTCCCATAGGTCTCGAGAAAGGAAAGCCCATCTTACACTCTATTTCTTCCTATCGTCTAACCCGGAGCAGGCCGTCGACCAGATGGAACCCAAATACGGCATAGATGCCGAGTTCGATGAATACAACGTGTCTAGCAGAACGAAAGCGGGCAGTGTTTGATCTAAACTGGTAACGAAAGAACCTCTGAGAGCCGAGAAATCATCAACCTGGTTCTTTATCGCTGAATCTCTTCCAATGTCTTACCACACAAATACAGAAGTGGACCCGCGGCAAGCTCCGATGCTTAACAGTGACAGTCTCGGCACAAATTGTGAAAATCCTATCACGGTCGACCCACATTCCAGTACAAAAGGCCAGTCAAAAGTCAGGTACCAATCTCTTGCGTCCTTCACATATCTGGCACGAATAAGATTCTATCAAGAAGGCCGATAGGAATATCTCCGATGTTTTTTGGACGAGCTGCTCCACGTTGTGGTGCTGATCTTGTCCGAATCAGGTACCAATATATCCACCGATCGGCGATGGTCCCTCTGTCGCGTGAAAGACGCAAGGGCGCGAGAAAATCTTCACGACTCCACGGAGTACAAATAAAAGGCTTCGGCGTGAGCAGGAATTGAGTACCAACTGCAAATTTCCTCACCATGCACTTCCTTCAAACATTGACGGCCTCGTTGCTGCTCACTGGCAGCTCACTATACGCCGGAGCTACTAAGACCGCCCAGAAGGGTCACCATGGCGCAATTGCGCCCAAGGTGTTCATTGTGTCAATGGTATGCGCGCTCCCATGAAACGAAATGCAATGTCGCTAATAGATCATGACAGTTCACACCTGAGGCCGAAGCTTGGTGGAACATCCCCGAATTCGACTTGTTCGCCCACAATATCACCATTCCCGGTCTCTCGCCTCTGTTCCCAGACGTCTATTGCACCGAGAACTATGATGTCTGCCAGCTCATCACCGGAGAAGGCGAGATCAATGCTGCTACTACTGTCAGCTCCGTTGCTTTCTCTCCCCTGTTCGATCTCACACGCACCTACTTCTTTGTCGCGGGCATTGCTGGCGTCAACCCCATGAAAGCCACCACTGCATCCCCGATGTTCGCTCGGTACGCAGTCCAGGTCGCGCTGCAATACGAAATTGATATCCGTGAGCTTCCCAGCAACTTCTCGACCGGATATATCGCGCAAGGCACCGAATTCCCCGGCCAATACCCGGCCAACATCTACGGCACAGAGGTCTTCGAGGTGAACGCCGACCTGCGCACAATTGCCGCCAACTTTGCGCGCAAGGCAAACCTCTCCGACTCTGCTACTGCCCAGGCCTACCGCGCCCGCTACAAGACCCCAAGTGGGAAGTACAAGGCTGCCACTTTGCCCCCTAGTGTTGTTGAGTGCGACGTCGCGACCTCCGACGTGTACTACAGCGGCAATATCCTCGGCTCGGCGTTTGAAAACACCACCAAGGTGTTGACTAATGGAACGGGCGACTATTGCGCAACTGCACAGGAGGATAACGCCACCTTTGAGGTCCTGCTCCGATCCTCGATCCACAAGTTGACTGATTTCTCCCGCATTATCGTGATGCGCACTGCGTCGGACTTTGATCGCCCCTACCCCGGTGCTTCTGCGACCTACAATCTCTTCCTGTCCTCGGAGCAGGGTGCATTCGAGCCTGCTATTGAGAATCTCTACGTTGCTGGTATTAAGGTCGTCGAGGGTATTCTGGACGGGTGGGATGCTACTTTCGCTGCTGGTATCAAGGCTAACAACTACGTCGGTGATATCTTCGGTTCTCTGGGTGGTGTTCCAGACTTTGGTCCGGGACGCAAGCAGGCTCTCATCGGTGGCGGCGTTTACAGAAAGCGCAACCTTCAAAACAGCTTTAAGCGTCATGTTTAAAGGTGCTCGGTCTTCCTACCGGAAAAGTTGAAGTTTTCATTTTTGGTCGTGATCTGAACACTATGTACCTATATTTGCATCTGTGGAATCCGAGAATAACCATGTAAAGTTCACTCGAATAACCCGAGAGGGAAATAATCAGCCAATGCTTGACAACCCGCTACATTAGGGTGAAGATGGTCTCCTGAATCATATTTTTCCAGCAGCTGAGACGGCGCCTGCGGATCCCTCAACACCTGGTCAAAGTCCAGTACTGCATCAAATACGCCACTTTTCCGGATGAATGTATTGACTCGCTGACGAGTCCCCTCCCGCTCGATACTTGAGTAAGGCTGCACATAGTCGGAGCTCGCCGACGAGCCGAATGGCGTAATAGTGGCGCCAAATATCGGAATTCCTAGGGCACGCACCCGTGTCGCAATCTGTTTATATGCCGCAACAAGTTTCCTCTCAATCGCCTCCTGGATGGCTGCATCGCTATCAGCGACGCCAATATCATTGACGCCTTCGAAGATCATCGCATATCGCACTCCAGATTGTGCTAGGACATCCCGGTCAAGACGGCTGATCACATTTGGACCTAGGCCATCTTGTAGAATACGATTTCCGCCAGCGGCCTGGTTGAGAACGGCGATATTTGACGTGGATTTATGCTTTTGCATTTTTGCCAGCAACAGATCCGGCCAACTATATTCCATAAGCCATGAATATGCACCGTGGGACGTTCCACTTACCGATCATTGCCATTGGTAGTGCTTCCTCGGCCATCGGTGATACTGTCGCCAATGACCACAAAGCCACTGGATTCGGAAGGTAGCCGAGCCTCTACTCCACTGATGAAGTACCTGAGGTAGAGGCCAGATTCAGATTCGCATTTGGGGTAATCAGAAGCCTTGCAGGAGAGAGACTCACCAATGATCTGTGCTTTGAACAGATGAGTCCGTGAGGTTCTTTGCGCCGCTCCAATCTCCAAAGGCCAGGTATGAGGTCGTTCTACTCCCAGGGTGGCCAGTAATAGAGAAGCCTTGCTGTCCTTCTGCGAGATACATGTTGATCATGAGAGCCGATTGGGCCTTAACAGGAAACTTTACTGGGTCGGAGACAACTAGTCCACCGTTCGGGATATCCACATCTGGGCTCCCATTGAAGGACACAGTCTTCAATGTCTCTGTCTGTAGACCACTGACTCCCACTATCGGCCTCGCCGGTAGGCCGATACTCACATTGGTGATCTTCAGATCGTTTGACCCAAATGCATTAGACAGTCGAATGCGAATCTCATGTGCAGCTAATGAAACCTGAAGGGTCTGCCGAATGGTCGTATTGCCGAAGACCGCAGTGGATCCATTCTGCACCCGACAGTCAGCATCAATGTACTGGTCACTGTGACAATGGCATCCCACGTACAAACGGAACAGGGGGTAGATTAGCGGGCTCAACCAACTGGGGCATAGTAGTCCATATATTCACCCAATGCGAGTCCCCTGCCTTGTCATAGTTTCCTCGACCCAGCAAAGGGTACGAAGATACTAAGTGGGCGCAAGACAGAGCGATTAGAAATATAGACCTGAATTGGAACATAGTCACTGTTGTGGCAGGTAGTCAACCAAACAGTACAAGAGTCACATTTTCCCTCCCATCTCGAATCGAAGCTCAATGTGCAATTTATAGCCGATTTTCCTCGCGATCGTGTCCGGTTAATGTGGGTAAATTCTATCCGAAATTTGGCTCCTCTATTTCTCCGCTGCAAATCCTCTCCGCCATAAATTGCGGGGAAGAGGGTAAATACAGCTACGTTCTCTGGCGGCAGCACGGATAATTGGGTAAATGTCAACCTCCTGAATAATGACAGCAGTCGACGTTGAAAGTAAAGTTGTCTCTGTTGTCTATACTATAATGGCTCAGAACTAATGCTCTCTTCGCTAAGGCCACGTGGACCCCTGGGCCTAAATGAATAGCCAAGTATTCTTATTTACATCAATTATCAGTGATGGTTGATTGGCTTGTGTCTTGAGAATCGTATAAGGATACACAAAATTCAAAATTCTCACGGCTAGGTACTGTTTAAGAACAGTAGTAAGGAAGTGATTCGAATTGACTCTATGCTGGGGTGATTACAAGGAATACATGTATGCTAATGTCTCTCAAAGGAAATATATAGAAGTTGCAATAAAGTTCAAGCCCCTGATGGAAAACGAAAGTTTTCTAGAGAAAAGAATGGTAAAATATTCCAAGACAGTGGCTTAAATGTGGTGAGGTCATGCGACGGATGCAACCCTACTTTGCAGGCCGGAATGGGAGTACACCGCTAATTCCAGATCTTCTAGATCTTCTAGTTATGTGCAGAAATATCTAGAAGGAATTTTAAAGACAATAAACCGGTGAGATGCGATCTGCATGGGATATCAAGGGGGAGAAAGGGGCGGTTTATCTGCGATACGGGCCTCCGCGATATAGGATTGAAATCAAGCTTGCAAAGGGGTACTTACCTTTTTCCCCGCAGATAAGCCTCTAAACAGCCCCAAAGTCCGGATGCGACCATCCCAGGCGATCTTTGCCTGTTCAGCTCAACCTTCCATGATGCGGAGAAACGTGGGGGTGATATCGACGCATGGGTAATGCAACATTCCCGAGGTACTCTTATCTAATAGAGCAAAGGGATGTCACCTCTCTTTTGATAAGAGGAAACTCGCATCTGGACATTTATAACTTTGACAGGTAGTGCACTGACTTCGCCTTCCTATATTTCTTTATCTATAACACCTTGGATACAACATGTCGGGTCCGGCGCACGCATCGTTGCCTGATGGCACAGTGAAGAAAACGGACACCTTGGGCACCGTTGAGGAGCCCAATATGCTGAAAGGCTATGGCTCTGTCCCAGGTGTGATGGACGAGGTGACCCGAGTGGTCGACCACAAGGCTGAACGGCGTCTTTGCCGGAAGTTCGACTATCGCCTGCTCCCTATCCTAGCGGTTATGTGTAAGTCTACCCGATCTTGCCACTCATGCGGGACTGACTAGCGACAGATCTATTCAATGCTCTAGACAAGGGAAATTTGGGAAATGCAGAAACAGATGGAATGAGCAAGGGTATGTGAGATCCTTGATCCAAGTGGTAGGCGCTCGAGACTAATTGAATGGTTAGACCTGAACTTCAAGCCGAATGAGTATAATCTCCTCTTATCGATCTTCTTTGTTCCATTCGTGCTCTTTGCGCCGCCCTTCTCGATGCTTGGAAAGAAGTTCGGTCCAGCGCGCGTACTTCCAATATTGATGTTCTCATTTGGTTCCTTCACGATTCTCTCTTCGGCCGCCTTTAATTTCAGTGGCATGTTCGCCCTGCGCTGGTTCCTGGGCATGTCCGAGGCTGCATTCTTCCCGCTAGTCATCTACTATTTGACCACATTCTACCGTCGTGGCGAGCTGGCTCGTCGCCTGGCTGTTTTTTACGCCGCGTCGAACATCGCAAACGCTTTCTCCGGACTCATTGCATTCGGAGTGTTCCAGATTGAGGGGTCTAATATCCCCAATTGGCGCTACCTGTTTATTATTGAGGGCGGCGTCACTGTTCTCTTCGCTATATTTGCCTTCTTATATCTCCCACGAAGCGCCGCCGAGGCGAAGTTTTTGTCAGAGGAGGAGAAGGCGCTAGCTTTCCATCGAATCCAAGTTGACTCCAGTGCAGTGGTCAACGAAGAGTTCAGTTTCCGCGAGGCCCTCGGTATCTTCAAACACCCCACTACGTACGCCTTCTTGTGCATTGAAATCTGTCTCGGTGTGCCTTTGCAAGGTGTCGCGCTCTTCATGCCGCAGATCGTCGGGGGGTTAGGTTATCCCACCGTCAAAACCAACCTGTACACCGTTGCGCCAAATGTAACAGGAGCAGTGATGCTGCTTGTGCTCGCCTTCTCCTCTGATTGGACCAAACTCCGATCCCCATTCATTGTTCTAGGCTTCATGCTCACCTTCTCCGGGTTCATGATCTATGCATCCATTGATGATGTCCAGAATCAGATACAGGTTGCCTACTTCGCAACTTTCATGATGACTTGGGGAACGTCCGCCCCATCCGTGATGCTCAGCACCTGGTATAACAACAACATCGCCCACGAGGGTCGCCGTGTACTGTTGACAAGTATCGGCGTGCCATTGGCCAATTTGATGGGTTTGGTGAGCAGCAACTTGTTCCGGAAGCAAGATGCACCTAAGTACATGCCCGCGCTGATCAGCGTCGCTGCCTTCGGTGCTACTGGCGCTTGTTTGACGGCTTCTTTGGCACTCTACATGTGGCTTGATAACAAGCGACGCGACCGTAGTGATGGAGTCACAATTCGGGCACGGGATATTCCAACGGAGCGAATGAGAGATGGGCCGGCATCTGCTGCGTTCCGATGGTTTTTGTAAATGGAAGGTCGAAATATCATTCCGTATTTAGTTGAGCGAAACCACTATAATATCTGTCCATAAGCCCCGTGCTCCCTAATCCTGCTGACTTCAAGCTAACCTATGTAGCGGGCAGATTCGTTCTGCCACTTCTTAGCTTTCCCTTGCCGTTTTAATGCCCAGCTCTTGCCGCTTTTTGTTCACTGGGTATTACATAGGGTCACTCACCAGCCACGCTGGCAATCTACGCGAGGTTGAATCCTCGCTATATACAAACTAGGATCTGATTCACCATGAGAACGGGCCCGACCATAGGAAATAAGGCCCCGTTGTTGATTGAAAGAAACACAGAAGATTGACATTCTAGATGATATCTCAGAGTGTATGACAAATCTGACGAGAGTGATGTTGTAAGTCAACTAGTTCTAGGAGCGTCGAGACCTCTAGATGAGAGATAACAGGGGGATTTAAAAGCTACGCCGGAGGTAGGGAGAGATTTAATTATCTTGCGTCTCTGCAACTGAGAATAAGCTCCCGACTGGAGCTGAATATTCCCAAAAACCCCAATCAACGACAGCGCGCCCAGATACTCCGCTCAAGTGCCAGGTCGTCTTCTTCATCGTGTTCTAATTCAAGTAATTACATCCGCAAAATTTTGATGCGCTCATGTAAGGCCCATGACGTATTATGGGTGGGGAGCTAGTGCGGGTAGGTCGTGGCTATGATGCCTTGCGCCATGTTGATGATCAGATATGCCTCTGAAAATATTTCATATCGTTCGTGTCCTCGTCGATCCCTCTGGATGCGATACGAGTGAGGAGGTCCAGCTCCAATCCCAGATGCAGGTATATGGTGGTCGGTGGGCACTTGCTTTTCGTAAGCGTCATGTTACGTGGGTGAGCATGCAGCATCGAGGGGACGGAGTGCATCTCACTTGCGTGGTCTTGTTGGTTGTGATCTAACTAATCTCTATTAGCCTTTGTTTTACCGTAGATCTCGTTCATCGTTGAAAGAATCGTACCTTTAGTATTTGTGGGAAGCAAATTTCACAATGTGAGGTTGGGAAGAAGCAGGAAGAAGGAAGAATAGAGGATTGAGAGAGAGGATATTATATAGTAATTGCTACGAAGGAAATTGCGTTTGCACGAGGAAGGTGCGACTGCCATGTTGAGGAAAGAGCAAGGTAACACTCATCTCATCGGCAAGTAAACGGAAACGGGAGACGAGGACGGACACCAGAAATACCAGAAAGTATACCAAGAGGCAAGGCCCAACTTACAGGCTTAGACATGTGTCTATCAAAACGCGCAATGCAAGGTCCATTGAATTGACTTTTGACTTGACAGGTCTTCTATTGTAACTGGGAGGCTTGTATTTTGACCATACTTGGATAATTTTGTATTTATTTGATGCATTCTTGCACTCCAACTCGATTCGACTGCTTCCCTCATTTATATTGACAGACCCAACACATCATGAAATATCAGTAACAGTACATCAATAGCCTTTTGCTGGATGAACATCCGGGGAAATAGTCGTCAGGTAGTCAGGTAGTCAGGTGAGTTTTGCTTGCTAGCAGCTCTGACGACCCCCATATTTATAAACATCCGTTATTGTGAGGTCGCTTAAACACCAATGCAGACATAGTAGCCGGCCCAGAGGTTGCTGCAGCTGGCATCAACAGTCGGGTTCCACTTGCGGAACTGGGCGTGGCTGATGCCGGCACTTTGTTCAATATCGTAGCAGCCCTCATTGTTGACCTTGTGGTATCTCTTGCAGTTTGAGACAATGTCGGGCATTTGGGGAGTAGGGCCGTCTGCGGTAGGAGCACCGGGAACGTGGACGCAGACGTAATAATCATGCAAGAGATTCGAGCACTCTGAGCAGAATGGTCAGTCAAAGTGCTGCTATGAGGCAGAAATAGAATAGGCTACGTACTCGCATCGATCGCAGGGTTCCACTCGCGGAACTGCGCATGGGTGATTGAGTTGCTGGTTTCAATGGAGTCACATTGGTCATTAGCGACAACCCTATGGTATTTGTCGCAGTTCTTAGCAATGCCGGACTGGGTGGGAGAGTGGCCATCATCGGTGGGCTTGGAGACAGGGGGAGTTGTCGTCGTGCCAGGGACGTGAACGCAGACATAGTAGTCTAGCCAGAGGTTCGAGCACTCTGTACGTAGGTTAGTGGATTGCTGAAGGGGAATACTGATATAGAACATACTGTCATTGATGTAAGGGTTCCATTCGGAGAACTGCTGGTGGCTGATGCCGGCCTTGGCGATGATATCGTCACAGTTGTCACCATCGACGATCTTGAGGAACCCATCACAGTTCTTAGCCAGACCAGGCTGAGTAGGCTCATGGCTGTTGGCAGAAGTGGTCGTGGTAGTGATCATGGTAGTGGTAGAAGTGGTAGAAGTGGTAGAAGCAGAGGTGGTCACCGACGTGGTGCTCTCCACAATCTTCGAGGTTGTGGCGGAGTCATCGTCTTCAGTGACACCGCCCAGCACGCAATACTCCTGACTGTCGTCAAAGATGCCGCAGTCGAGTCCGGGGTTCAAGGACTTGAACTGGTCAACCGAAATACCCCAGGTGTCGGCAAAGTCATCACAAGTGTCGCCTGGGTTGGCGGCTGTGGCAAAGCTGCAGTCAACCCCGCGACGGACAATAGGATTGCCAATAGAATGAGCTTCCAGCAGCCCTGGGAGGAGAGCCAGAGCGATAGTAGACTTAGTGTACATTGTGTTCAAGAAGGGACGATACTAGACAACATTTGCAGAAGTGATGTCCAGAGAGGATCGACTTATATAGAGCCGATCTGAACCAAACTGGGCTATAATGTCCGTTTCTCCACTGTTTCCTATCTAGCTCACTAGAGATGCCCATCCCGTTACTATACAACCAGCCTGAATGATCTGATACTTCTAGGCCTTCGCCTCGGCACATTTCCGAAGGATCACAAATACCGTATCGAGCCACGCACGTCTTGAACTGGACCTGAGGTGGGTCTCTCGTCGACGGCTAGCCTCGAAGGCCCCTAAAATTGTCCGAGGGAAGGGGAAATTGCGATACTTTCTGGTTCCAAAAATGGAAGGTCATAGCCGATTTCCGTAGTTGTGAACTTCGAGAACTCTATACCTCCCTCAGTGTCATTTATTTGCGCACCGATGTGTAGTAGCTCGATAATATCCATGTAGGCACAGATTATCAGGCAGACTGTCCATCCGCACCCTGACTACGGTTACTTCTTAAGTGTCCTTTTAGCTCTATCGCTTTACTCAGACAATAAAAACAATAACCGGTAAAATTTATTTCCTTACATGAATGAGTAAATGTGCAACATAGTCTTTCTATGTTAAATGGATGCACAACATACAACGTCCTTTTGGGGTGGTTCCGTCTGGTGATGCATATGGGCGTTAGTAAATACCAAGGTATGTGGCGTCGAGACTAGTTAGTCGGTAGTGAACTTTGTGGAGTCTATTCAAAACTCTTTTCTTCCGTTTACATACACATGCGCTAGGCACACACAGTACAATAGAAGCGCCCTATAGGGCTCAGCAAGTGGGTTTAAGCGTTTGGCCCCCATGTTGTTACCTTGGTAGTAGCCGATCTCGGCGTCTGTCTACTCGACTTGGCGGTTGGGGCTTGGCACTGAAATTTGGAGTTCGACTTTCGAACCAGAGACCCCTTTCCCACCAACCCCTTGAGGTTGCATTCGTTACATAATATCATAGTACGAAATATCCACCATGCACCTAACCTTGGAAGAGCCCGTGTAAAGTACTCCGTACCTGAGTCGCCAAGAGTGGATTTGGTTGCCTCTACGCCTTTGCCGAATGTGTGGCGAATGGGTCAGGGATCCTTCGGTGGATCGGAACGGAACGACCTCTGCCCGCAGATCCTTGGGCTGTTTTGACTATCTGCAAGCTAATAAGCTCGAATAATGGGCTGAGCTTCTACAGCATAGGTTTTTTTTTCCTTTGGCCCTTTCGCGCACTGTGGGCCTCCTTGTCATCATTTCTGTTTTTCTTCTCTTTGGTCTTTCACTTGGATTCCCCTCTATCAACAATTTATCTTCAAGGCTCACCTTGCGATCAGCGCTGTTATCAAATCTCCTGAAATCGTTCCTACGCATTCACCTTGCTCCACTTTCATAGCATGTTCTGTGTTCAGGCATGTCTTCTCGCGCTCGGCCTGCTGGCCTTGGCCGGGGCCGACTCAACAGGCACCACAGAGGTTGACATCGTCTTCCCGCGCAACGACACCTATGAGCTGATGCCGCTTATGCCCGTCGTATTTGCCGTGCAGAACCCCGCCGCTGTCCAACACCTCTATACGACTCTAGAGTACTTGGTGTGGCCCGAGGAGGGCCCTTATAACGGTAGCTTCAATGAGCTCCGCATCGATATGGTCACCCCGAATGAGACAACGCAATTCCTCTCCGAGGGTATCCCCAATCTACTCAACACAGAAGGGAAATGGGGTTTCTCCTGGAGGCTGAGATCGACTAATTGCTCTACGTCCGACGACGGTACTGCCTACAACGATGACCACATGACCGAGGACTATGATGGGTTTCACAGACGGACATCTTGGTCGTACCAGTACTTCCGCTTTACCACCGCCAAAGGGGGCCGCCAGCCAAACCTGACTGCTATCACTACCGGTGAGGATTGTGGCAAGACACAGGGCATTGCCTTCGATGTTAAACAGAACCTGGAAGTTCCATTTGCACTGACTGGCAATGGACCCTCGTCGTGCGCTCTACTTGCTAGCCCAGCACCCACTCCTAGTCCTTGCCGAGCTAGTGTAGTACCGTCAATCGCTTCGAGCATCTCAGCCAGAATCACCCAAGCTGAATGCTATGCAGCGACCCCCGCAGTCAGCTGCCCGCCTAAGAAAGACGGAGCTGCTGTCAACAGCCCGGGCATTCAAGCGGCATTGTTAGCCGGCCCAGCTTGGATCCTTTACAATGTTCTCTTCTAGTGGGATTGGATCTCTAAGCTAGATTATGAACTTCTAGGCTACAGTGTTGAATACTCGAATAAATGTTGGCTTTCCCCCTAAAAATTGAAACTGCATGTGGTTTTCTTGCCTGATTAAATGGAGACTTCGTTCACTGGAATGTAGACTAACAACTTAGTGGCTACAGAATGTCTCACCCACTTATGGGCCCTAGTTGTAGGTACCTCTATACGCCGTAGACTACGGAAGGAGCCCAATGCCCGAAAATTGGGTCAAACCTTGTTGTGCGGGTTTCAGGTCAAACAGACTCGTAGAATTTTAGTTACCTAAATAGGAAGAAGCCTTAGCCAATCAGGAAGAAGACACCTATTTTATATCACGTCTACAGCGCTACATTCTCTATTAGGCCCTTCATTTTAAGATATCATTGTTGAGGTCCCATTAGGATTAAGCATTTACGAAATTTAGGAACTCCAGTTTCCATTTAATAACGTTCCGATTTCTAGTTTCCCGGACCTTTTTACCTCTCCGAACTGATAGCCCCCCCCAGCTAACGTGGGGCCGCATGGATGTCCTAGCCGATTCCAAGGTTGGCCAGCCCTGCCAAGACAGCCCTGCCAAGACGATCCGCTCTACATCTTCGAGCCTCCAGGCACAGAAAGTTACTCCCTATGTCCACAGCAGTCCACAATGGGCTTTCCATACGTCAGCCTGAGCCGATTATCTCCGTTGCCATACAATTTGCGCTATAATGCAAATCTTGTGAAGAAGAAATTACAAAAATGGAAGGTAGTGCGAAATGAAGGCGATCAACGGCGTCTTGGCACATATAGCAGCATAACACTTGGGCTACTTCCGTTACATGCATCTTACGTTGTGGTATGGCTAGGTGAGCTTAGCCATTATTTCATTGCTCCGCTGACTCTGGAAGGATGTGAAAGATGTCACGAGTCTGTAATTAGCTACCCAGGTGTGGAAATACAAATATGCCCCATGCATAATCAGCACTAAATGGCCGGCCGAAATCCGATTATTTCCAAGGATTTTAAAGAGTATGATGAAAATCCATTGTGAGGCAGCTCGACAGTAGTCATATATATAGGAGGGTTATTTTCCGTCTGTGGCCTCCCTTTTTCAGCTCTATCAGACATTCCTTTTCGCCTTTTTACACACGCTCTTTTCATTTTCAATTTTCATTTTTTCATTCTTTTTTTTTGAGTGTCCCAACTCGCTCCTTTTACCTCTATATATTCTGGGACACTCAACCAACTATCACCATGTCTCCTTTTTGGAGCACAGCGGTGGGCCTGCTGCTGTCCGCTGGAGTTGTCTCTGGACACTCAGCATCCAGGCTGGGTGCTAGTCCTAGCTACAAAGGTGGCAACATTGTTTGTCCTGAGCGATGCATGATCTCGGGTCCGAATCCCTCTAACTGGTCCAGCTATCACAGCATGGACCAGCTGGCGAGGTGCAAGGAGACCATGTTCTACAGCTTCAATGTCTATGACAACGTTGATGAAACCGATTCTCTTCACCGTATTTTTGCCTGTACTGCTTACGGCAACGACTGGAACGACGATGTCAAGGCTAAGAATGCGGCCTCACGCCCTGCTAAAGAGCATGAGGTCAACTACGAGATTGGGTGGTCATCTCACTCAAAGGGTAGCGAATCAGGCTACCGTTCATTGATCAAACAGATGAGTGACTACGTCGCCAACGGACATGCCTCCTCTGGTAAGACTACCATGCTCTATGCAGAGTTTGGTGGCGTTACCGCCGGTCTTTATATCGGAAACAGCCTGCGTAGTGAGAAGATCAGCTCCATTGCTCTAGAAGCCCTCGTGGAAGATACGCACAAGTTCGATGGTGAACGAGACTCCTTGACTATGCAGCTCTGCGGACCTGAATACGACTCTCAACACGTTTTTGGCTTCATGGCCACCAACGGCGGAACCTTCGAGGAAATTCAATCCGCCTTACAATCCTGGTCTAGTGCCAATTGCCTTGACTTCGATAAGAGCACGAATTTTACTGCAAGTGCTCACTTCACAGCGCCTATGCTTTCTTCCATCAAAGCTAGCAATTCGACCACCATCTCCGCCGGTGCCAGCAAGTCCACCCCGATTCACAACTCCCATAAGCGAGCCCATCATCCTCATATAAGATCCGCCGAGAATATCCTGGTCTCTAGAGATCAATGCAAAACCCAAAAGGTTCAACAGGATGATAGCTGCGCTGCCTTGGCCAAGAAGTGTGGCATCAGTGGTGCGGACTTCACAAAGTACAACTCGGCGAAAGGGTTCTGCTCCAGACTAAGCCCTGGCCAACATGTCTGCTGCTCCTCTGGTAGCATGCCCGACTTCCGTCCCAAACCTAATAAGGACGGGTCTTGCGCTACCGCCACAGTTGCTGACGGCGAGAGTTGTTCCACCATTGCCGCCGCCAATAGTCTAACCAACGAGGATATCGAAAGCTTCAACAAAAAGACTTGGGGGTGGAATGGGTGCAAGAAGATCTTCAAAGATGCTGTTATCTGCATTAGCAAGGGCTCACCGCCCATGCCAGCCGAAGTGCCTGATGCCGAGTGCGGTCCTCAGGTCCCTGGTACCAAGCCTCCCAAGGATATGAGCACGCTCGCCGATCTGAATCCGTGTCCATTGAACGCGTGTTGCAACACGTTCGGTCATGTAAGATATTTTCACAATTTATCAAGACTATGTCCGACTAACAAGGATGACAGTGCGGAACCATAGACGAATTCTGTACTGACACCAATACCGGAGCACCCGGCACGGCCAAGCCAGGTACTAACGGCTGCATCTCTAACTGTGGCACAAAAATTGTTAAGGGAAATGCTCCCTCCGAGTACCGCAGCATCGGTTACTATGAGGGCTATCAATTCAATCGAGATTGTCTCTTCCAGGACGCGCTACAGATTGATGGAAGTCAGTACACACATCTGCATTTCGGCTTTGGCGATATCTCCTCCGATTATAAAGTGAGCATCGATGATAAAATGATGAAGTATCAGTTCGAGAATTTCAAGTATGTCTACGGCCCGAAGAAGATTCTTTCTTTTGGTGGCTGGGACTTCTCTACACAGCCAGCGACATACCAGATCCTTCGCCAAGGAACTACCGCAGCCAATCGTAAGACACTCGCGACGAATATTGCCAATTTTATCAAGGATAATAACCTTGACGGCGTTGATATTGATTGGGAATACCCCGGTGTGAGTTTAAATGAACCGAGACCATTACCTACCATGCTTTAAGCCGTCACTAACAAAATCCTAGGCCACTGATATTCCAGATGTCCCGGCTGGTGATGAAAATGAAGGCAACAATTACCTGGCTTTTCTCGCACTATTGAAGAATCTCCTGCCAGGGAAGTCCGTCTCAATTGCTGCACCCGCCTCTTACTGGTACCTCAAGGGCTTCCCCATTGCCAAGATCAGCAAAGTTGTCGATTACATTGTCTTTATGACTTATGATTTGCACGGCCAGTGGGATGCTGGGAACCCTAACGCTCAGCCCGGCTGCGATGATGGCAAGTGCCTACGCAGCCACGTCAATCTGACTGAGACAATGAACTCCCTTGCGATGGTCACGAAGGCTGGTGCCGACTCGGGAAAGATCGTCGTCGGTGTCAGCAGCTACGGAAGATCCTTCAAGATGGCTTCTGCAGGCTGCTACGGTCCTGAATGCAAATATACCGGAGGAAGACTGGACTCGCATGCGAAAAAGGGAAAATGCACGAACACAGCTGGCTACATTTCCAACGCGGAGATCAACGACATCGTTGCCGACTCATCCCGCGTCAATGAGCATTTCATTGATAAAGAAACCAACAGCAACATTTTGGTCTATGATGACACCGAATATGTGGCCTATATGAGCCCGTCTATTCGTTCCCAACGCACCGCCATGTTCAAGGCGCAAGGAATGGGCGGCTCTGTCAACTGGGCTACTGACTTGGAGAAGTACAATGACCCACCTTCCGGCGTTAAGAACTGGAAAAACTTGAGGCTCCAGGTCCGATCGGGCAATGACCCCGTGCGCGGCAGTGGTGAACGCCATGGCAACTGGAGTACATTGGACTGCGACAACGAGTACTACACAGAGTTCCCCTTCTACTCGCCAGAGGCTCGCTGGAACGGGCTTGGTTGCAATGATGCCTGGAGCGATCTCGTTTCCGACTGGAAGACGTATAGAGATGGCGAAATTGACCAGTCCCAATATACACCATTCGTCCCCTACATTTCGTATCTCCTTGGTCTCGGCGGTAACCGGGACTGTGCCGACATCGTCACCGGCATTGGCTGCAGGGAACCTAAGACATGCAAAGATCTCTCCCTGAATAAGGTTGGGCCTGCGGGCGCTCTGATCTTTAACGCTTTTGTCAGAATCAGTTCAGTATGTGAATTCAAATCCCCGTCATTCATCTTCCAAAACCATCCCACTAACACGAGACACCCTTAGGCATACGCCAAGTACCACCATTCTATCGTCTCTGCCTCTGCTCTTCTCATTGATAACTCCCTTAAAGACCTCGAGAACAAATTTGCTCCTGTGCCTCCCAAAAAGGACGACTCATGGCTGAGCATTCTGCTGGGCTTCGTATCCATGGGCACACCGATGGTCGGTGGCAAGTTTTTCGCAGATGGTAAGCCCCCTGTCCAATTCGACTTGTCGCTTGTTCCAATCCACTAAGTAAATACTCAGTTCTGTCTAAGCTACCTGCGATGGCTGGACGATCTGAGGAGGCTCTAAAGAAAGGCGAGACCGCTTTCAATACCATTCTTTCTGGTGGTGTGATGGTCGGTACCAACCTGAAGGGCTCTTCAAGTGTGTAAGTTCCTCTTTCATGTCATGTTGCCGTTGAGATCTTGGCTAATATTAATTCACCGTCAGCGATGAATGGACAGACCAGGCTCAAGATCAATTCTCTAACTACCTAGGTCAGGCTCTCTACGTCTGGGACAATGTCACCAGAGTGGATCTGCGAAATCTGTTCGACGGCAGTGACAAATCCATTGAGAGGCTCACCGAACTCATGTCCGAAGGCAAGTTCAACTCCGGCAGCAACGTTAAGGACGGGAAAACAGGTGAGGGCACTATGGGTGAAGAGCCAACGAAATTGCAGCGTCAGTCAGTTGAAGATAGCTTTGTCCGCGCCTTCTATGGGTTCGCCATTCCTGCCGTTTGGAAAGCTTCTGGTCACCACCCTTTCATCATTGACACCGGTCGGGATTGTGGCGACAAGGGCGTGTCCAAGTACACCAAGGACCTCAAATCAGCTTGTTATGGGGGACGATTGTATCAGTTGGCGGATCCCGATGGCAAGTCGCACCCCTGTAACTCCAACTGCGGATTTCCAGGGGGCTGCACGTGCCCCGACAGTCCATTCTCAAACCTCAAAGGCGAGAAAGAACTGGATGGTAAGAGCTGGGGCAAAATCAAGGTGGAGGATATCATCATTGGGTATGTTGTCAACTTCCCTATGATTGATGGCTTGCAGATTTACTGATCCACCATCTGTAGAGCCGTCAAGACGTACAAACAAAATGGAGAAGAAAATGGCGGTGGCCTCGCAGACCCGTCGAACGATGGCACTTTTGATGCTCTCGTCAATCAAGACATCACAACGCCAGGATACATTCGCCTGCCAGTGTGCAGTGAGACCATGGCCCGCAAGTCATGGGAGAACGCGGACGACACCGATGGCACAAGAGACAAGGATAACTTCCCTTGCAACGTGGCCAACGGCAAAGACTTCTGCGGCGCCTCGACCTTTGTTGATCAGACCAGTGGTGCGTCGCCACCGGTGGACGACTGCAAGCAGATTATCAAGGACATCCAGGGCACTAGTAAAGCGTGGCACCCTTTCATCGAGAGGCAGCGTGGAATTGTGGACTCTGGGAACTGCGTCTTTGGTGTCACTGGAAAGGGTCGCAAAGGTAACTCTCAATTTGACATTGGCGCTCAGGATGTCATCGACATTATCAATGATTCCATTCACAAGTTCGGTGGCAGCGGCAAAATCGGCGCTAAAGGCACCATGCAATGCAATGGAAACATCAAGAAGCAAAATGTGGAATGGGGCATCTACTCAAAAGCGGCATGAGTATGTAGGATGACATGTTCTGGAATAGTTGCAGGTTATGGGATATACGTTATGTTTGATATGTACTTTTTGCCTCATCAAGTCTGTGAATAGAATATTGTCATATTGTCATACCTGAATGCCTACATTTTACGAGAAATCACCGGTCAACTTGAAGAAAGGCACACGAAAGATTGCACGCCCCTGAGGAGCGCGATTAATGAGTGGCGAAGGGGAGGATGTGCCTATGCCTCTTTTTTTTCACGGCAGTCTGTTTGTCTCGATACGCTTGACTTGTCGAAATGCCACGTTGGATAAGTCATTGAGAATTATCGGTCAGCCGTACAATATATTTGTGTCCGACTCTGTTAAAACCAGCATTAGAGCAATCGAAGCTATATTAAAGCAATCCAAAGGGTACGCCGCTGACATACTCACTTTCAATGCCCAGCCCTAAGATCCATTATTACTGTTGGCTCTTCAACGAACGTGGGAGACGAAGCAGAAAGTAGTAAGGTGGTGCTGGCAGGTAGAGAAAGAATCCCGGAGCTACCTCGGGTTACATCGGTGTGTACCTGAACAGGTCTGCAACATTTGTCTCTTTGCTTTTTCTCTATGTGACTGATCTCACAATTCTAAGCCATCGGGCCCACAGCTCTCGCCTAAAGTGGCAATCGAATTGGCAATCGAATTGGCAATCCTTCAATTGGATCTGACTTGTTAGTTGTTTTCGAACCCACCCACGTCGAACAGGGAATACGCGCAAGTCACTGGGATTCTTATTCACCGCTGCTTAAGCTGACATGCACCCCTGCCCCGCATCACGTGGATGGAAAGCATATAAAACCGTCTGAAGGCTCACGTCGTACTCTGTGCGTTTATCTGATTTCAACAGCTTCACACCTCCAATTCCACTTCGCATCCTATAAACAATGACTTCCAATAGCAGCCAAGTGTCGCCTTTGCCGGCCATCACACGGCATATCACAGGCCACAATGAGAACGGGAAAGCAGTGGTCCATTCCTCGACGTCGGCTGAATGGGAATGTCTTGGAGAAAGCCAAATGGCATTCAACGTTGTTTACACGAACCAGTTCGCTCCGGACCTCAACAACGATGCGGACATCAAGACCCACGAGACCTTGACACAATCGGACAAGCTGGGCCTTGTTAACCCTGGTGGAACCGTATGCCGCATTGTGGACTTCGCCCCCAACAACCCTGCTGTAGTTCACCGGACTCAGAGTCTCGACTACGGCGTGGTACTCGAAGGGCAGGTTGAGATGATCTTGGAAGATACAGAACCAGTCATCATGAACAGGGGAGATGTTGCGGTACAGCGGGCTACGATGCATGGGTGGCGCAACACCAGCGAGACAGAGTGGGCCCGTCTACTCTTCGTGCTGCAGGATTGCAAGAAATTAACGGTTGCCGGGAAGGAAATGAAAGAAGATCTGGGAATTGCGGCTGGAGTACTCAAGCCGAGTGGCAATAGTCAGGAGTGAATTTTGTCGATTTTTCTGGGATATATTGACATGAAATTCAATAATATTCAGAGCTCCAGAGCATTATTGAATTTTGATCACTACCTTTCCAAAGTGGCTGCCGCTTTCCAGGAACCTGAATGCTTCTTTCGACTCGGCAAATGAAAAGACCCGGTTAACCACTGGGTGAACCTGATTTGTCTCGTAGAAACGGAGCATCTCTTCAAACCGATCCTTGGGACCGTTAATAATTCCTCTGAGTGTCACCGTCCGACGGAGAGTCAGCAGGTTTACATTCAGGCGGTCTTCATCAGCATCTATCTTGCCCGAGACATAGCCAATGCAGTTAATCAATCCTCCGAAAGCGATGCAATCAAAACTTTTCCGCAAGGTTTTAGCACCGCCAACTTCCAAGATGATATCAACACCGTGGTTCTCAGTGATATTCATCACTTCGGCTTCCCAGTTGGGGTTGGTGCGGTAGTTGATAGTAAAATCAGCACCTAGCTCTTTAGCCTGGTCCAATTTGGCATCGGACGAGGAGGTGATAATAACTGCTTGCAGGATTAGCATTTGCGTCCTATAATCGGTCATAAGTCACATTGCCCACCCTTCGCGCCAGCGGCCTTTGCAATCTGCAGTCCGGCGATAGCCACACCACCAGTTCCCTGGAGCAAGATGAATTCGTCCTTCCCGCCACTCTGCCCCATCGGTCGCATGCCATTGATAGACATCCACGCCGTGACTGAAGCGATGGGAAGCGTAGCCGCCTCCTCATCTGACATGAAGCTAGGCGCTTTCACCAGACCGTGATCAGGGAACACGCGGTGGGTTGCAAGGACACCATCCTGCGGCAGCCCCAGGCTTCTGCCAAGCTCCTTCTCGGTCACCTGGCCGGTTTGGTGATCGGGCAGGAAAGTCGAAAGAACACGGTCGCCGACTGTCCACTTGGTCACGCCAGATCCAACCTGCGTCACTACTCCGCACATGTCCGAGCATGGCACGATGGTGGCATCCTGCTCGGCGGATTTGTGATGTTTATACTCGCCATTGGTCACTTTGAAAGATTCGATCAGCATGGATCCTGCAGGTCTGTTCTTGGCGGGCGATTACCTTCCACGTCGCGGTAGTTTAGAGAGACAGCGCGGATCTCTACCAATACTTCGCTCGGCCCTGGTGCGGGCATTGGAGCTTCGGTCCGGCTAAGACTGTCAATGCCCTTCAAGGGTGTGATCCATTGTTGAACGGCCATTTTTCCACGACGCTTGTTGGACAAAATATTGATGCACGGCAACAAGTGAAGGATTTAAGCTGGTTATAAGTCAAGTTGGAGAAATTTGGAGAAATGGCTCCGTCCCCACCTGCGACCTTGGAGGTGCTGAGTAATCGAGATGTTCTGGGCATCGACTACCTACCTACCTATGTAGGTAGGTATTTACTTTCCTTGATCTCGGAATTCACTAAGAAATTCCTCGGGAAGAAGGCTTGGTAGGTATTGATTTTGGTTGTCCTAGGGAGCTAGTCGGCTAACTAAAGTAGACGGAAATAAGTTCAGGATTTAGCACACAGTAAGTACGCAAATTTGCAAAGCGCCCAAATTTCAAAAACAATAGAAGATCTGTCAGACCGGCGATGATGAAATATGTGGAAGTGGGTCATGATCTATCAATACGATCAACCCATTGCGCTGTGGTCAGAACATACATAATCCAGCTCAATTGGTCCGCCACCTTTTCATGTCTGGGAAATCATTTCAAATAGCATATCGGGGAACTCTGGCGCACCGGCCCTCCGCGAATTAAGTGCCGCAAACTGGAATCCTTCTGGATGTATCTCAAATCAGCCAAACTTCGCCATAAGGACCCAGGATTAAGTTACGGGGCGCAATATCGTGGTGCGTGAAAACCAGCCTGTCAAAATCAAACGGGGGAACATCCTTTGGTGCCTGCTTAAAGTGTCGAGTGATCTCAAGTCGCGGTTGAACCGGGCCTGTAGTTGCTCCTTCGAGCCAAATGGGCCGGCTCCCGCGTCAGGAAACCAGTATGCACGAGCCACGCAGGTTGCACTCTACAGGGCCAGGCTGCTGTTGCTGCTCCTGAGACAACGGAATAGAGTGTAGAGTGGTGATCATCGAAGCAACCCGGGAGACGATGTCCACACGTTGTGTCTGCCTCAGGTCGTCCCAGAATTCCTCGACTGTTCTGCCTTTGACGAAATCCATGACCACCAGGCATCTGCACCCGAAAAAGACGCCTTCCGTTTCGATGTTAGAAACTCGATGAACTTTAGGCACTGGGAGTGATTGTAATTTTTTCTCCCCTCCCGCCCTAGCAATAAGCTCAAGGATGCTACCTTCGCCAGGACGTGCGTTGATCCCGCCTTTTAAGGATCAATGTCTGTGACAGGCGGACAATATGCGTTCCCTGATAGGAATGGAGAGTTGGTGCGGTCCTGAAGGGTTCGGCCAGGGTTTCATCTGAAACCTTCCAGATGTCATGTCCGTCGAGAGGGAAGTTCTCAGGATGTACGCCTTTCCACTCACAGGCTAAGAGAGGGTACCTTTTGTTAGCTGGATCCAGTAGGTTAGCAGGGAGATAGATGCTCCTCTATTATGGTCTGGTAGGTCCATTTCATGAAGGGGTGTGGACAATAGGACTGAGCCATGTTGCCGTCTCCAGTGATATTAAAAGCCCGGGATTATCATTTCCCTGTGGATGGCCAGGTGTCAGGTGCCCCCCAGACAGGGGTCACGATTCCTTAGCGCCGCATATTAATTGAAACAGAGCTCCTATCTCAGTTTGCAAATGAACGTACCAATAGGCAATAGAAGAAAGGAGGCGCCAGCTGATTAGCAGGTACTGGGGCAGTGTCTCATCATCAACGTCAATATAGTATGCACTGCTGTGGAGTCTTAGATATATAATTTAGCTGGCCACCAGCACTGTTCGTGAAGACAAACTTCGTTGTTTCCTCAAGCTCTTTAACTACCTACGAACCAACTCCCAGCTTTACTAGGAAAAATTCTTTCCCTCACTCCATCTCATAATGTGAGGATATTCCCATCCCAGTGTAATGATATTCAAGCTGATCAGGAGTATTGAAGCGGGCCTATCCATCTTTAAAATGAACTTCCAACCAACCCCCTTTCAATCCTTGGAATTTATCCCCAAGCATGAAAAAGAAAAGATGTTGAACCTCGATCTATTGTGTGTCTATGCGGTTGCGCATAGCAAACTCGACCAAGGAGGCAATCACTGGTGCTTCTGCCTGGGTGTTGACGATGGCCAGTCAGTGCGCATTGATATGACACCGTCCTATACCGTTCCTAGCGTCAACATCCCTGGTGGCTCAAAGGGTATTATGCTTATGAGCTTGCCGACGTACATCTACGAGCGCTCATCGGAGAAAGCTGTGCGACTCGATGTTCCGGCCGGCGTCGAAGTGCACAATTTTGTCAACCTGCTCGTGCAGCAAAAGCGCCACCAGTGCGAGTTCAACAAAGAGGACCAGGGCTGCAGGTATTTGACAGACCAGCAAATCACCCTCTTCAGAGACCGGGTCTTGTTGTGAATCCATCTCAAGTCACAAAGGCCAAAGATTCCATTCTCACGAAATATCCCGAAAAAGTCCGCTATCCTCTTGTGGTCGGCAGCTACTATCCATGACTTTCTATTGTCCTGGGAAGCTACTTGGATTCGTGGTTCTCTTGAAACTGTACGTGCTGCTGGACTGATCTTTTGATGTTGATATTGACTTATGTTAAATTTGCAGGGCTGCTTTATCTCTCTTGCTCTCTCTTGGTTCTTTTTCCATGCATGTTCCGGCTTGAAGAGCTTGACATGTTATATGGTTGATCCAGATTCACCCTCTCAAGGGCCAAGTTTCTGACTGTGTTATGCACAATCCACAGTAGACCGTGCAGCGGGGCTTATCTCCGCCAAACTCCGACGGCCTTGCTCGACCACCACCCCCCAAACCTCCTTTCTTCTTTTCTTCAACTCTCACAACTCCTTTCGAAATGGGCGACGCGCCAGCTCCAGTTCCTGAATATCAGACGCATGAATTACCAGGTGCGTAACCCTCCATATGGGCGTTGTCAAGTTAACTCATTCCCTGCAAGCTCATTTCCACTATTCACCGGTTGCCCGCGCCTCCCCGCGTCTACCTCAAGCCATCGCCCATCGAGGGTTCAAAGGCCAATACCCCGAGAACACTATACTATCAATCGATGGCGCAATCCGGGGAGGAGCTCACGCTCTCGAGCTCGACCTTCATATCTCCCGCGATGGGGTCGTGGTGTTATCACACGTAGGTGCACACACTCCTTGATCCAGGACCACGCTCATCGATCCAAGGACGCAACCCTCATGCGCTGTTTTGGAATCAAGAAGAAGGTCTGTGACTGCGACTGGGAGTATTTAAAGACTCTGCGAACCCTACAAGCTCCCCATGAACCTATGCCCCGGTTGGTCGACGTGTTGGAGTACCTAAGACAACCAGGTCGGGAAAATTTCTGGATCTTGCTAGATATAAAGGTAGCGAAACGATGCTCCCAAATCCGCACATTGTCTCTCTCGGAAAATTAACATCCCACCCACTTCCCAGCTCACCAATGAACCATTCGCTATAATGGAACGGGTTGCCAAAACTATCGAGTCAGTCCCTATACCCGCGAACGGACCCGACTGGCACCGACGAATCATCCTCGGCTGCTGGTCTGCACGATACCTACCCGCGCGAGCACAGCACCTGCCACGGTATGCAGTGACGCTAATCTGTGTCGACTTGAGCTATGCGCGTCAATTCCTCCAAGTACCCCTTATATCCTTCAACATCCACCAGAAGATCTTGATGGGCCCGCTAGGGCGAGGATTTTTGGACGAGGCACGCTTAGCCCGCCGTCAAGTCTATGTTTGGACGGTGAATGCGCCGAATCTAATGCGTTGGTGTATACGACACGAGATCGACGGCGTCATCTCCGACGAGCCAGGTCGATTCCGGCAGGTCTGCGAGGGGTGGGAGAAGGAGCATACGGGTGTATTGGGCGTCCCGAATCCCAATTTGGATCGGATAACTTTGAGACAACGTATCGAGATCATCGCTGTGGCGCTTTATGTCATTTGCTTTGGCTGGATCATGAAGCGTATGTACCTCACTCCAGTTGAGCGACTGCAGTTTGAGGAACACAAGTTGAAATAGTTGCGGTAGCATCTCGATAAAGATGTGATAGCATATTAATGATTAATGATATAATGAGGCCATGAGTTCGGGGTATTCTTGAAAACTTAGAAAAGACATTATGTCCATTAAGATTGCAAATCCTATACAAGAAACAACCCGCTAACCAAACACCCAGCCGATAGAGAGTACATTATAAGCATTTCAGCATGACGAAGAATCAACAAAATACACCACCCCCGGATGATGGCCCAAAAATCACAAAACCTGCCAATGCGGCGTTTTCAATGGGTACAGATGAAGGACAGCCCCGATGCAAGGGGGAAATAGAGGACCAACGCCATTGCCAGGGAAAGCGTGAGATAGCACAGAGGGTATATCGCGATATATAAAGGAATGAAGAAAGTGGGGAACAAAATCCGCGGCAGAGATGCGGAGAAGAGGAATGTGCAACTCAGCGTTTTCCAAGAGATTAAAACGAAGAGGATGATTTACTCAAATCATCATAAGCTTAGTGGTTCGTCGTTCAGGGAACCGGCCTCCGCCTCCAGGGGGGAATCGAGCACCGGGGTGCAGTCCAGGCCCAGGTGCAGGTCTTCCGCCATTTGGAGGGTACGGGCCTGGTGGGAATTGGCCAGACTGGGCCAAGGGAGACGAGGGTAGTGTGGGCCGGCGACGACCAGAAGGACCAGGAGGTGGCGGGTGGTATGCAGCAGCGGCTCGGCGAGCATCTCTTTCGCAGAAGACTTCGCCATTCCATTCGAAGTAATCGCCCTTGAGAAGGACATGACATGTACGACACTGCAAACACTGGGTGTGGAATCGACGGCGATCTGACCGTGCAGGGTTCCGCTCGACGGTCTCCAAGTAGTGGCCTTCGATTCCGGTGTGACAGCCGGCGCAAAGGGACCCGTTCCGTTCGTGGTAATGTTGCGCGCAGAAAGGTCTGTTGTTGAGGACATAGAAATCGACTGTTTGGAAGGGAGAGTGGCACTCAAAACAAACGAAACAGCCACGGTGGTACCGACCTGTGAGACGGCCGTCCGAGGATGATATCGATTTTCCTGTAATTGTCTCGTTGCAACCTTTACATTTCCCCTTCGAACGTGTGGCGGATCGGGTTGGTGTTGCTGGTGTTTGTAGTTGTGGCAGGGGGGCTGTAAATGATCGTTGTGGCGGTGGTTTTCGGGGAATAGATTGCTTCGGTTGTGTTGGGGTCGGAGTCGGGGGCACATCTTTCTTCTCCGCAATCAACGACACGCCACCTTGGTTGATTGAAGGGTCAGTAGGTGAATCCGGGCTGAAGAAAGCAGCTGGGATAGGAGGGACATCTTCCATGGTGCTCCGCATACGGCCGGGTACTTCTACAATCGTCTGTCGGGTCCGGGCGGGCAGTTCTTCAACCAAGGGCCCTAGATTGAGCGGATCGGTAGGTTTGTGTGGGTTCAAGCTGGTATCGGAGGGAAGACTGGACATGGAACTACCACTGCGTGCATCAGAGGGCGATGAATCGGAGCCAGAGGTTTCAGATTGATTCATTTGTTCCTCCAGACCGAGGGCTCGGGCGAAGCTAGTGACGGAAAATGCACTTGTTGTACTTGCGTTTGAGCTTTTCCTTGGCGCATCTCTACCTGGCTCTGTTGCCGCTGTCGCAGGGTGGAGATGGGTTTGTGCAGGATTGAACGCGATATATTCAGGATGATCCTGGAATTGGCCCGATGAAGGTTCCTCCGGGAGATCTTGTAGTCCAGTGGCTGGGTTTTGGCCTTTAGGAATACCAAAATCGAACCCAGTAGCTTCTTCCTTGCTAATCCGAGATGAAACCACCGAGACGTTGGAATCTCGAGGGAACGAAGTATTGTTGGGTGTGCGGAGAGGTGCCAGCGGCACTGGTGGTGTGTCGTCCATAAATGACCGGAAACCACGCGAGAGGCTGTTGGCTGATGACCTCGTTGTGGAATCGCCGTAGCGACTGCTGGCGAAAGATGACCGGTAGCTGCTGTTGCTCACCGCCGACTCCGCCCTGTGATGATTCGTATCTGGGGACTTAGGTGGTAGTGGACTAGGTGGAAGGCGTATATTCTCTGGAGTCAAACTCAGCCCTTGTCCCGGCGGGACTGGTGGTAGTGCTTTAAGCGCAGTCCGATCCGTCATTGGACTTGGTGTCCTTACTTCAGTCGGCGACCTGTTTCCAGGCATGGGGAATGAGAAGACAGAATCATCGGTCAGACTGTTCTGAGACGGGCGCACCATGGATGAAGGTGCTGGACTGGCAGGGAGAGGTGACAGATGGACACTGTTAGCTGGTGTCGGCATATTTGGCTGCAAAAACGCTCGATCTATGTGTGGGGTTAGTGGCGGATCCCTTGCACTCCCCGCATGGCGATTTGAGACATACTTGCAGCAGAGGGGTCTATGGCCGGAGGGGGCCCGCGGCCAACCTTTGCCTCTGTGAATCGGTCCGAATCGAACCCTGCCGATGGAGGCGGCGATGGGATAGGCGCGACTGTGGCTATAAAGTCAGCATGTAGACCGGGGCCATGTATATTCAAAGCCTACCAAAATCATTTCGAATACAAGTATGATCCCCCATAGAGGAGATCTCGACGTTGCACCCGCAATTGGAGCATTTTATGGTGGGCAACATGCCCATGTTCATCGAAGCCATCAAAAATGAACATCGAATTCAGTCATATCCCCTCGAGATATGGGGAAGACTATTCTAGAGCAAGTCTAAAGAAGAGAAGTTGAGATCCCCCGGGAGAATTAGTGATTGTATGGGGGACTTTGTGCCAGACCGGAAAAAACACACTAGTGGTTAGCGTCTCCAGTGGGGAAAGGGGGTGCGTAACTGTTCAGGGGTTGAGAGTTACTCTTATTATGTTATGCTATGTTATATTATTTTATATTATTTTATATTATTATATTATTAGTACAGGGTAGTAGTCATTAGTATTAGTTAACTATATTATTCTATTTACAGAGACTAAATAATTAGATGTAAGATGTAATACACGGAGTACGTACGGAGTAGTACGCTGTAGATACCTATGTTGTAGGTAAATAGTTCGCTATCACTAAATTCATCTATTCTCTCCTGAAACAGTGGAGCCCAAAAAAATGTGTCCACAGGGAACATGGAAAAAGATACTCAACTTGCAATGTGACTGGTCCGTGACCGTCTGATCCTCCACCACCAATCACATTGCCCATGTTTGAGGCAATCTTGCGATCAGTGGGGATAACCTTGGAACCTTGGAAGTCAAGGGGGGTATCTCTCGATCTGAATTTTGAATGGATTCTGACACGCGCTCTGCAAAATCAGACTTTCCTCCTGGAAACGGTCCTCTGACGAAATCATCGATCGTTCCAGATGTCGGGGTATTCTTAGAACACGGCAAGAAAAACAATCAACTTTGTGGTTTCGCCCGTGCTGGCGATCCGCGGGGCCATTTTTTCCCTCCGAGCCCACTCCTCTTACTGGTCACTGCTCTCCACTCAACGCCACGGATCATGCATGACCCTGACACTTGGCCGAAAGCAGAAGTACATATGTACTCTGGCACATTGTAGGTACGTTTCTACCGTTTAGGTAGTTGCAAGAATTAAGCCCCAAGGGGTATTTTGATCGCCACTTGAAAGCTCGCATAGAACGTGCGACGATGGGGTGAGAATCAGACCACGCCACCCCATACGAAGTATGGGGCTTCTCATCCAAGGTTGCGTGCGGGAGAGGGACGATCATCTGTCGCGCCTGTGCCGCAAGCTCAGACACGGCCCAGGTTGGGAGAGAGGTGAGACTTTCTCTCGCCCTCTTTCTCGCTCTCTTTCTGCTCTCCTACTTACAATGTAGTACCAATGTCAACGCATGCCCCACTTCTCCCGAAGTTGTCGCTGGAGTGCATGGGTTGGCCAGCCGTGGAGTGCGTCAGTTTGGATAAGAACCTGGATCAAATGGTCCTGTTCATGTGGGTCCGTGAAGCGATCGCCCCCTGTGAGCTGGTCAGCCTCATTTATACTCACTAGAAGATATTGATAGTAGTTTCTGCTGCTTACAGAGATGGATGGCCATGCACCCAACAACCATGGCTGGGGGCACGGAGGCATTGGATAATGAAGCGCCACATACTTTCCAAATCCCCCTGCGGACATGATCCTGGATTACCTGTCAACCTCTGCTTGAATACTTAATGTAAACTGGAATCAGACACTTACGTCAGCCTCCTGGATCAGACGATTGCGCAGAGGTCCAACTGTAGGCAGAGTTGGATCGTGCACAGAAAGCAGAATATGGGCAAGATCGATATATTGATTGCCGATTGCTATAAGCTCAAGCGATTAGCCTCGTAGTTAATAACTTTCAGGGTACGCCATTTGCTGAGATATCGCCCGATACGTACCGTGCCATGGACACCCGTAACGAATGTCGGGGAATTTGGTTCCCACTTCCACATCTTCACCCACAAAGTAAGGGTCGAAAGAATCCGGCCGAGTCTCACTCCATTGCTGATTATGGGCCTTAAGATCCGCATGCACAACCGTCGAGCGAGGCCCCTCCCCGAAACAAAACATCAAAACGTGGGCACAATGAGTGATTGCTTGATTCGCCCATGCGTAATCACCTGCATCAGGGCCCAGCGAGCTAAGGTGGGAATCCAAGTCCAAGGACCTCAGCTCAATGTCTGGCACTTGATGGAGGCTAAGGGCATTGTAAATCTCCTGGCGTAGGCCACTCCAGTAAACAGCCTGCCGTAGACTTGGGGTTGTGGTCATCATTGATGGAGACCGTATGAAAGCCTTTGTCCCGAAGGAGTGGCCTCGAATATCAGACCCGGCGAGTGGGACTATGATCTTGGTCAGCAGCATTCTTGACATGTATGGGGACGGATCCACTGCTCACCGTCAAACTCTTCCAGCAAGCGTAGAATGACAGTAGCAGACAGCAAATCATCATCCATCGTAACACCGTGGTCATTTAGCGCGGGGATCAACTTCGCCAGACATGCTTGGTAATAATGGTCTGACACAAAAGGGTCAAAGCCTGTCGTGCGATTCAAATGACGAGCTGACATGGCCAATATTGCATTAAATAATGTCTCACAGCGGCGTGCTCGGTAGGGGATATGGATGGCAAAATGCTGCTGACGATCCGTGCAATCGAACTTGATATCGTACAGTCAGGCTACGGCATGTCACTTAAAAGAAAGATCATCACTTACAAAGGGTGCAACCTTTTCCACGAAATGTTGCAACAGACGTGCCTCCTCGGGATCTCTCAAAGGCCATGGCCGATGGTGTGATCGTTCAGGTGTGCCCACCACCGAGGGTGTTAGCGAGACAGCACTACTGCTCGTATGTACTTGGTGGTTCGAGAAACCATATTGTGGCAAAGGGGGGGTATATGAGGACCCGGGAGACACCCTTTCGGGTATAGAAATGGAGTCGGTATGGCTATGCAAACTCCCGGCAGGCGACAGAGCATTGGTTGCCGTCGGGGTCGAGCTACCCACTTGGCCGCTTCCGCTTTCGAGTACAAAGTCAACTAGATAACAGCCTGATGTCAGACTAGATCACTAGATTCAGGGAAATCGGGTGCAGAGTCCAACCTCTAGGTGGTGGCCGAAGCCAAACTTGGTTGCTAGGAAACTTAGTGCGCGTTGTCCGACCCTTTGCCTGTCGGAACTTGGTTTCCTTTTTACCTCGAATGCATTCGCGACCTGTACGGACGCACCGGCTGCATTGTGGCAAGATTCCGTCACCTATCGACAGTCAGCGGGGAGTTGGTTCTGGGGGGAATACGCAGTACTACATTTATGGTGAAGTACACGGCATGGATCGCTGAATATAGTTAGAAGTCAAGTCACAAAAGCGCTAATATCATTTAGGTCATTGCTTACCAACATTGGGGTTTCTTCGCACCAGGCATGACGGGGATGTTGATTTTCTTCACATCTTCCGTCGGGGAAATTCCCCACAGCGGGGGATTTAATCCGGAGCCACAATATCGATGGCGATGTGGGAATTAGTATTACCCTTGACACCTAGGTATAAACTTGCCTTAAAGACAACTTGTTCTGGTGAAGATGAAAATAATAGAAAAACATGTCTGTTTCTCAAATGTTGTGTCGTTGTGCATATGTACCGGATAATGCCTGGCACTCGAGACATTTCCCTTTCCGTTTTAGTGCTCACCCCTTGCCGCTTTTTGATCACTGAGTAAAACTGAGCACGCCCCTAAGTCCCCGGACTTGATCACGGGCCATTACATAATCAACTAATCTACTCACTGAGCATCACCTGATCATCCCGTGAGCACCCTGATCCACTCACTGATCATCATCTGAGCACTCTGATTTGATCACTGAGTGCTCGGGTTCCAGCTCAGCGGGACCCGTAAAAATGATGACTGATGACGGGTCCCGTTCAGCTCGGGCACCTGATCGGGACCTGGCTTTGTGCAGGTCCCGCTCAGCTTTTATGCCTTGATTTTATCTATTTATGTTGATTTTTATACAATATTACTAAAGGTATGTACCCACTTAAACCTATACCCCACTAAAACGCACTGTATCCTCATACATCTCTATATACATGTTGTATATTATTGCTTTTGTGTCTAATTTCAAAGAGGGTGTAAAAGGATTCAATCAAAATGGCCTTCCATATTATAAATTACAAACAAATAAAGCAATATTAGGTGATTCGAAGGGTCATACGGAAAATCAATAAAGAAAGTGAGAGATGTATATATGTCAACACCAGCATAATACCACTTCTCTTCTTCTTCCCCACCCACATTTGCTTTCTTAAGGTGGAAACATATGTTTACAATCCTCTCTCACGCGTTTTTGCATATATAAAGCATATATTGACTATCTCTAGGAAACCAGTATAGCAAACCTAGCACTACACCCCGGTCTAGGTCCAACCGAGGCCGATTTTGATAATAACACGGTCTTGACCGCTACGAACTGTAAAGGTATACTGTTTCCAGGTGTATGGGCTGTCAACCA